GTGTACACATGCATGGTCAAGCGTGCGTCAAACGCGCGTTCTCATATTTTACGTATGATCGCGCGTTGTGCGGGCGTTAGCTGCGCGCTTCGAGATACTTGGGCCGCCATTTTGTTGTACATTTGATCGCGCGCTTTGGTGTAGTGTAGACGTCAGTTCAACGGAAAAATGGACACCGAACATTTTGATACAGATTTCTTTATTGGTGAAATCCAAAAGCGACCAGCTATTTGGGACATGAAATGTCCCGATTATAAAAAAAACAAGACGCTAAAAAGACGTAAAATAAAAAAAATACGCCGTCTTTTATAGCGACGGTAGAGGAGCCACACACAAGTAATCACTTCGGCATCCATTTTCGTACTGCTAGAAACACACCCTACTAAACGCTCGCCGAACGCCCAGCCGAGCGCGGCGTGTGTATGCAATCTACGCGCGCTCAACGCAACGCCGAGCGCCCAATGTGTACCCGCCGTTACAGTTATGTCACAACTAGAGGTCCCTGCGGTTTCACCCGCGTTAATTAGAAGTAAAAGGTTTTTAGTGAGTCAAACTTAAAATATGGTCATAGGTTGTCTTAGACTTTTTTACAGAACTTTTCACTTGAATAGCAGCTCCACAATGGTCGTAACGAGAACTAAAAAAATGGATGCGTGTAACTTATGTACGCGCGTGAGAAGTTATACTTCTTTAGCATCATTAAAAATATTTTTTAATTGCAAGCAAATAATTAATAATTACAATAAAATAATAAAAGGACTGGAAAAGGATAGTTAACACAGTCAATTAAGTTCAGTTTTAATTTGAACAATTAAATAAATATTCAAAATATTCAATTAAAATCACTACTGAATTTAAGTTATTAGTCCATATGTAATTAGCACTTGTAAGTAACTAAAACACGTTGTGTCTATATAGAAACTAGAAACATGTGGATAAATATTATAAATATGAAAACAGTGATCAGAGGCGACGAGCGTGCCAACATTGTTTTTGACAACGCGATCATCTTATGGAGCTCTGTGGATCGTTCAAAGTACCTTTCGAACAGATGTCTATTAGACACTAACATTCATAACGCGCCCGCGGCCAACTTCATGGTGTTACTATTGTGTTACAGTGATGCGCGCGCATCTCCAAATTTCACTCACATGATTTTTTCATAACGCGCCCGCGGCTAACTTCATTATGTTACTTTTGTGTTACAGTGATGCGCGCGCATCTTAAAATTTCACTCTCATAATTTTTTCATAACGCGGCTAAAGAAGTATAACTTCAAAAATCAATGACATTTCACACTCGCTAACTATTCGAATTCGATATTGGTTCGTGCTAAGGGTACCTACAGATAACGGAATCGAGTATCTTCGGAATTTTATTGAGGAAGTTTGGTTGATGGTTAGTTGAATAATCTCTCAGTATCGCTGTAGGCAGTGTCTGCCCCTTGTTTTATTATTAGTCTCATTAAGACCCCAATTAGCTTTGTCGGGGCGGGCTATGGGGCAGCTCACTTTGTTGAGTTTCATCGGAAATCTTATCAGTGTGGAATTCGCAAGAATTCTGCTGTAATTTAGTGTAAAAAACGCCGATGAACCTGTAAACGCTTTGAGTATTTACTCGGCTTTTTATATGCTTACAAGAGTGTGACTTAAAAAGAGTGTGAAGGAAAAATGTACTTAAGCCCATTTTGGGCACTAAAAAGTGTGAATTTTTTGCATTTTTAGAAGTTAAGTACCTATATTGAGAATAAGTGCACAAAACAAACTCGCTTTTGACGCTCGTAGCGTTTCAGCCTTCGCCGAGTTACTCTCCAACTTTCATGCTCGTCGGGAAGAGCTGTGCTGTGTATCCCATACACATACACACATACACACACACACACACACACATATATATATTAGATATACATACATAGTCGTATGACGCTTGTGATGCATTTCCGTTACATCTTTTCCATAGGATTTATCATTTACACACGTCTGAAAAGAAGTTTTGCTTCGAAAGTTTTTTTTGAAAGAAAGAAAGAAAGAAAGAAAGAAATTTTATTTGTAACAACATGTGTAAGTAAGATTGTCAGTGATAATTAGCTAAGTACATAACATGTTGTGCCAATATCGGCATACAAATTAATTATTATTTATATTCATTATTATCATTCTAAGATTCAAATTACAAAAATGAAAAGGTCAATAATGTCAATACAATAAAAAATGACAATAAATTGGGCAAACACTTTAAATAATATGTCAATACTTTCAAAACAAACATAGTCAAATATCAGTAAATTGGGTAGAAACTGTTAATACATGTCAAAACTCTCAATTCAATAATTAAATGTCAATAAAATTGGGCAAATAATAATTTTAGACTGCAACATGCGGTGCCGACGTACCTCTAGCACAGTGGTGCAGCGCACACGGCTTGGTGACCGGGGGCCGCGGCACGGTCTCGCAGGCGGCGGCGGCGCTGCGCTGACGGCGCGGGCGGGGGCGCGGGCGCTGCTGGTGGCCGGGTGCTCGCCACACGCAACGCAACATGCGGTGCCGACGTACCTCTAGCACAGTGGTGCAGCGCACACGGCTTGGTGACCGGGGGCCGCGGCACGGTCTCGCAGGCGGCGGCGGCGCTGCGCTGACGGCGCGGGCGGGGGCGCGGGCGCTGCTGGTGGCCGGGTGCTCGCCACACGCAGCGTAACATGCGGTGCCGACGTACCTCTAGCACAGTGGTGCAGCGCACACGACTTGGTGACCGGGGGCCGCGGCACGGTCTCGCAGGCGGCGGCGGCGCTGCGCTGACGGCGCGGGCGGGGGCGCGGGCGCTGCTGGTGGCCGGGTGCTCGCCACACGCAGCGTAACATGCGGTGCCGACGTACCTCTAGCACAGTGGTGCAGCGCACACGACTTGGTGACCGGGGGCCGCGGCACGGTCTCGCAGGCGGCGGCGGCGCTGCGCTGACGGCGCGGGCGGGGGCGCGGGCGCTGCTGGTGGCCGGGTGCTCGCCACACGCAGCGTAACATGCGGTGCCGACGTACCTCTAGCACAGTGGTGCAGCGCACACGACTTGGTGACCGGGGGCCGCGGCACGGTCTCGCAGGCGGCGGCGGCGCTGCGCTGACGGCGCGGGCGGGGGCGCGGGCGCTGCTGGTGGCCGGGTGCTCGCCACACGCAGCGTAACATGCGGTGCCGACGTACCTCTAGCACAGTGGTGCAGCGCACACGACTTGGTGACCGGGGGCCGCGGCACGGTCTCGCAGGCGGCGGCGGCGCTGCGCTGACGGCGCGGGCGGGGGCGCGGGCGCTGCTGGTGGCCGGGTGCTCGCCACACGCAACGCAACATGCGGTGCCGACGTACCTCTAGCACAGTGGTGCAGCGCACACGACTTGGTGACCGGGGGCCGCGGCACGGTCTCGCAGGCGGCGGCGGCGCTGCGCTGACGGCGCGGGCGGGGGCGCGGGCGCTGCTGGTGGCCGGGTGCCCGCCACACGCAGCGCAACATGCGGTGCTGACGGCCAGTGTTGCCGCATTGGCCCACGCACTATTCAAAATTAATAATAATAATAAATAAATTAAATATGAGGAGCTCGATAGCGCAAGTGGTAAGCGCGTTGAGCTGCTATCGTTGAACTTAAGCAACTTTCGCAGTGGACTGTAATTGGATGGGTGATCGAAAAATACTACCTCGAGCTCTGGCTGCATTTGCAGTCGTTAGCACCCACCAATCCGCACTGGGCCCGCGTGATGGGTCATGGCCCAATCTCCCTATTCCATCCATAGGGAAGGCCTGTGCTCCAGCAGTGGGGACATTAATAGGCTGATAATGATGATGATGATGACATATCGTGTTTGGTTGTTTTACGAAATATGAAAAAGAGACAAATAGACAGACACCTATATTTAGTAAGTTATTATTGTTCTGGCTTATACAGAACACTGGCATACCTTGCTCCAGGCGCCGACGGCCCAGCTAGGCTTACAAGTAGTGGCTTCTCTCCTGACCTTCTCTGGCCGACTGCTCGCGTCACAAGATGCATCCGATAACACCGTACCATTCTCACTGATGCACTCCACACGACGCCTCGACACGGCTGTAAATATACCTTTCATTAATATAATTGTGTTCATTTTAAGAAATAAATTGCTACTAAATAGCAATAATATAGATAAATGTTGTTACATTATGCTTTTAATGTTGTGGAGTTTCTTTCGCTCGGTTTTCTCCGCAGCTAAAAAATATGTCCAATAACGAGTGGTAGGGAAAATAAATGTTTGGACGATTCAAAAGTGTTGTACTATACATCCAATTTGAATAAAGATATATTGATTTCTGATTGACTAAACTTTCCCAAAATGCGGAATAAAGGTAGTCTTGGTTTAAACATAATGATGACTTTGTCTTCTTTTCAGTAAAAAAAAGTGACAGTTTCAGTTTTAGTCCAGGTCATGAAGGTTAGACAGAATGAGAACGATCGCTGTAGAAAATAGTGTCCCAGAAATATGGACAACATAAGTGAGGCGCTGCGATCGCAATGTGTCGCCACAAAACACCGCCACCGGCATATTTCTTGTAGTTTTCATACATTTTATATGGACTCGCCACACACGGTACGCCGGTGGCCGCTACACGCTACAAATCTTCGTTGATCGCTTCTTGTGGCCCGCACCGGCCACATAGTGCGTCGATACAAAACGCCGCCACACGTCACTAGCGCGATTCCCCACCCCTCTATCCCTTACTTAGTCGGCCGCTGTCGCGCGCTTCAGCCACTTTAGTAGCCGCTTCTAGCTTCCCGTGGCGGCGTTTGTGGCTGTGGCGTGTGGCCCGTGTGCGGCGACACTAAGTTGTGTCAATAAAAGCGGGCTAATTTGAAATGGCCAATGCCGCGAAGAAAATCTGTACAATATTCAACTAACTTCATCTAATTGTACTCATACAGCTAACTTCACAGATACTTCTTACCGACGGCAGCGCGGCTGGTGGCTGAAATATGAACTATAAATTCTACAGATTTTCAGGGTCGGGCGGGCCAATGCTTAAGCACGTAGTGATCATTCTCCTTCTCTCTAACCTTCTTGGTCCAGGTTTAATGTTTTTCGCGCTCCTGAATACGGGCTAAAGACAAGGGTTCAAACAACGACGGACAGAATACATATACTGATACATATATAAGTATATTTATAAAGAAATACATATTAAACATCCATGACTGGAGTACGAATGCTCTTATTCGTCACACATCTGCCCCCACCGGGATTTGAATCCGGGATCTCTCGAGTAGGCAGCACCTAGCAACCCGGCATCCAAACCACTCGGCTACGGAGTTCGTAAATTTTTGAATAACATCAGCTACTGTTACGAAAATAAAAAAAATACAAATGATATTCATAAACATACCAGCTCCGCTAGCGAGGCATCGAACCGGCGACCAATGGGTAGCGTGCCACTTCGCACACTCTCCGTTGCTACACTCACGAAGCACCGAAGGGGGTGTGGCTCCTCTAGAAATACACTCTTCTGTCTTCACAGTGGTGGTCGAGTTATTCTTCTTGTGCTGTTACCCAAACAAATACAATATGAGAATCTAAAGAAAATTTACAAGAAAAAAATCCACACGAACCAGGCAGTAGACGGGACTCGAACCCCCACCCTTCGCTATCCGGGCGAATGTACTGACCATTATGCTACCACGGCCCTATTAGCCGCGTCAAAATTTTCCTAGCCTTAAGCTGCAAGGTAGCACCATCACTTCGCGTTGTAGGTGACCCACAATGTCAATGGTGATAACTTGTAGCTTTTTTAATTTATTCGTGTGGTATTTACATTACTTCATCACACAAGATGGCATATTTTAATTTTTTTTTCGGAGCAATTGAACGTGTGACTGGCGCTGTCACGCTGAGTCAAATGGCAGCGGGTTGTCTGACCTGATGCATTTGTGTGAGTGTATGTAGTGTACAACAAACGAAATTGTAGGACCTTGCATGCTTCACATCATTTTAGTTTGATGTTACGTCGGTCTTTTTGCAGATCCGTGTTAGTAACCATAATAAGATGTCATATCGTACTTTACAACCACATATACAACTAAGTCTGTCGATCATCCTGCATTTGCACTTACTGAGCCACTTCAAAACGGTTTACGGGTGTTGAAGGACTTGCAGTTGCAAATAGTCGACTCTTCTTACTTCGTTGTGATTGTGCGTAACTTTATTGGTTTTTATCTAACACGCTTTGGACATTGGAACACGATCATCGGTTTTGTCAATTAGTATGATGAACTGAAATTACTCGTATGTTTTCTTTACTATAACGAATGGAATGTTTGAAAAAACCCCAACCCATGCGGGGATTTTTGGATTTACTCTAGCGCGACAAAATAACATAAGGGAGTATCCTTGCACCGTGTGAAGTACTCCTATAATACCTGAGCCTCCTATGTAGGGTCTAACTAACTAAATTAATTCCATTTTTTTCCATTCTAGTTATATTTTCTTTAGATTTAAACATCAAGCAGTTACATGCTTTAAAATAATAACAATTATAACTATAATTGCTATTTCTTCTTTCAAATGTTTAATACTTGTAAAAGTATTCATTTGGGATTGTGAGTTACCTATAATGCGAAGAGATGGCGCTGCCTTGCAGCTTAAGAATGGCTAGAAGAATTTCGACGGTAGCATAATTGGTCGGTGCATTCGCCCGGATTGCGAAGGGTGCGGGTTCGAGTCCCGTCTGCTGCCTGGTCCACGTGGATTTTTTTCTAGTTATATTTTCTTTAAATTAATTCCCTTGTTTCATTAATTTTCGTTCGTTATAGTACTTGTACCTATTCAACTTAAAATAACTAAAGACCACCGGGATGGAATTTGATGCGCTTTGGCACAGATGATCATGACTATTTTACCTTTCAAACAAATGTAGTTTAAACGTTGGCGGACGTGGGTGCAGCGTCCATACATTTTTGCCCAATGTCCTTTAAAATAATATCTTACTAATAAAAGAACACAAAACGCTCAAATTTCTTCGTTAATCAATTAACAATTTCAGTAATCCTCCAATTTGGTACGTATCAAAGATTTGTGTTTGCAATCAGGGCGAGTGTTCGACTCGCATCTGTCTCATGAGTAAAGAAGGCGCAGAGGGTAAGCTTCATACAGTGCGCATGTGAGTGAGCACTGGCGGCCTGTCGCTACCGCCACCAATAGAAATATCTCTCATGATACGTGACAGGCAAAAATTGGACTACAAAAGCAAAGGACAGACAGACGTGGAGCAAAATGAAGGAAGCCTTTACTCGTTGAGGGGCCATAATGACATGCAATTATTAATTACTTTGACATTCAATTATCATTTAGAATTTGAATTTTATTATTATTATTATTACTTGACAATTGTATGAAATGAAAATTTTAAAATGCTAATTGCAATCTAATTTATAGTATTAATTGTTGTAATATTCTATTATTTCATGCATGTACTTATGAATAATTCTATGATATTTATTACTTGATCATTATGGAAATAAAGAGGCCATATTATTATTATTATTTAACTTTTCAAATTAATGCACGCTGTGAATGCCTGAAATGCGTTAAAGATCATCTAGTCGGAAACTGAACGCCTCTCCATTGTCTTACTCTTGTATGTACAGATGCAACACTTTCAAAGTAGCTGTAGTCATTGATTGGTTGATTCAGTCGCTGACTAGACACGAACGTGGTAGCACGTTTCGATCACTAATAAAATAATATGAAAATGTGGAGGTGTGTTCAGTTTTAGTATAGATTCTTCGTCTTTCTACGTTGGTTGCAAAAACAAGAAAAGTCTGAAATATCAGACAGAAATCAATATAACTTTATTCAAATTGGATGTGTAGTACAAATCTTTTAAATCGTCCAAAAACTTTTTTCTCTACCACTCGTTAAAGAACATATTTTTTTAGCTGCGGCGAAAAACAAGCGAATAAAACTCCACAACTGAAAAAGTATAATGTAACAACATTTACAAATCCTTACTCAAAATTACTCTGCTGGCAATTGACATTTTTAATTTACACAGCCGCAATTGACATATAATTGAATTATAAAATGTATTTTGTTAAATTATGAACAAGAACTAAAATTTTCCACAGACTTTTTTCCTTAACTATCTCAATGATGTACATAGATTTCTTCTAAAAAGGATTGAAGTGAAATACCCTGTGAAGCTTAGTCTCTGTGCCTTCTATACTCATATGCATCTGTCTCGTAGACGAGACGGGCCGGGGCGTGTCTAAACAAGCCCGTGTACCTCATCTCCATAACACAGACCGTCCTGGTTTACAATCGGAATTGTGTTTGCGACGCTTGGCAACATTGTGGTGCGCACATTGAAAATGTTCCGAATGCTCAGACAGTCACGAAATTTGTAAGGACCAAAATTACAAGGAATGGATATTAGCAATTCTTATTGAAAATGTACTCAGACCAAATAAAAAGTATAGACGGAGTCTGCCGAACCAAAAAGTGAAGCCGATAAAACTACGCCTCGCCGTGTACATACACAGTTACACGCACACACATGCAACGAAACTACGCCTTGGCTTCTCAGTCGAGCTATCCCGACGCGCGGAGTGTGACGTAATAGTAAATAACAATATTTATTAGAGAAAATGCCGAATTGTGTAGTGAAAACGTGTAAAAACCAATCTTCCAAGAATAAAAAACAGGATGGAATCACATTTCATACGTAAGTAAAGTTATAAACTGCTATTTTCAATTAATCAAAATCAAATTTGAGGTTGTCGCTTTGTAAACAAAACCTGAACGAAATGTTGCCATGATTATTCGTTACAGTTTTACCCTTTTGTTGGGTAGCGTGAAATATAACGTAACGTTATTTTATTATATACATTGTGTGGCATACTTTTATATTATTCGAATATTGTAATGCATGGATAAACAATTACACGAAACATCTTTTTTCTTTATGTATTCGTATAAATTTTTTGGGATGTAATACACATTAATATACGTTTTTTTTAAGATTTCCTAATCGAGATTAAGATCTAAAAGAGAAGTGGATTGCAGTCATTCGTAAGAGTAGAAATGCACCATTGTGGCAACCAGCTTCCCGCAGCGTGGTTTGTTCGACTCATTTTCAGACCGACGATTTGTAAAATAATAATATATTTGTAATTTTATTTGTATTGTACTTTTTAATGGCCTTTTAGACCCAAAATTCGCGATGTTTGTGGATTTATTTTATTATGTTCTTGTATAGGAACTAGTGATTATATTTTGTGTATTCTATAGAAAATTTCATGTACATTTTAATAAAAACATTTGTATATGCTTTTCGTTTTATCGACATAAAGTTGAGATGACTGATTTGTAAGCGATTTCAAGTGCCTTGTTGCGAGTGCTTGAAACTATAAAATGAACAAACCTATTCCATCCGAGACTTGTAACTAAAGTAAAATAATCAATCCAACATAATTAAACGTCAACACATAAATCAAGGCACTTGGATCTCGCAATTGTTTTTATCAACACTTGCAACACGACCCTTTTTTTTCTGTTGCGTGTTATATTTTATAATTGTATTTGGTAAGTTATTATATACATTCATTCATATATAGTACATTCTATATGTACAAAAACCTGGATTTATAATTTACAAATTTTGAAAATACACCTCATTTTACCTATTTAAATGACTTTTTTTATCTTCCCTGAGTTTACCATAATGTAAATAAAATAAATTATAGACATGACGCATTGTGTACACACTGTTTTATTGAAAATTTTATGGAGAATCCAAATATACGTTTGTGAAGGGTAATTTTACAAAATAGCAGAGAAATCGGCAGAACAATGCCATCGTTCCCACCCAGCGGGTGGGCGGTCCATAAAGAAGTCCGGCACTTGTAGGTGAGAACGGCGCATGACCTTTGGCTCACGAGAGGTTTAGAGAATAAGCTTACGATATTTTTTTCTAATATTTTATAACGTTATTAAAAATGTAATAACGTTATGAAATAACGTTATTACATTTTTCTAATATTGGGGTGTTTTATATGACTATGGTAACACTGGCTAATGCACTACATACATAAAAAACCGGCTTCACTTTTTGGTTCGGCAGACTCCGTCTTTACTTTTTATTTGGTCTGAGAAAATGTATAATACTTTTAATTTATATTATTTTAAAGCATGTAACTGCTTGATCGTCGCGGTCCGTGAGGGTCGCGGTAGCATAATTGGTCAGTGCATTCGCCCGGATTGCGAAGGTTACCCGCACGGTTCGAGTCCCGTCTGCTGCCTGGTCCGCGTGGATTTTTTTCTAGTTATATTTTCTTTAGATGTATAATACTGTCCAGAAGTACTGCCCTAGCAGTGCCGTTTTTTACTTTACCCCAAATATTTGTAGATGCCACAATTACTATAAAAATGGATATCTTTATATATAAAATTCTTCTGTGAGTGTGTATGTCACTGAACTTCTCTTAAACGACTGGACCGATTTTGATGAATTTTTTTGTGTGTGTTCAAGGGGATCTGAGAATGGTTTAGATTCACAATTTTGTCCGCTGGACAACCCCTATTTTTTTAGGGCGGTACGAAGTTCGCTGGGTCAGCTAGTTATTTATAAAACTAAATAAGTCATAGACTTTTTATTGTTGTTTTGGACCTCTTATGATAGTTAGATTTGCAGCGAAAGAATTTAAAGAATAAGTAATTCAGCATATCAATTAATTTAAAATTAATAATTGTTGGACAGCTCATTATTAATTACCTGGTCTCTTAAGGAAAGAAGAGGTTGTCACACCAAACAGCGGCATGAGCGGCAAGATCTGTCGTTATTTCTATGTATGACTTGTGTACTCTAAAAAAATATATATATTACCTGACACACAGCTCCCCTCACTTCGTGCCCGACCTGACCACAAGGGGCATTGCAAGGAGACCATTCTGTGGTCATCCACACGTACTCTTTGGCATCTGGTGCTTCTTGTAACCTAAAATCGAAGTTGGAGTTATAGTAACTGTAAAGTTATTTAAAATATATACAATGAATGTATAATGCGTTCCGGAGACGATCAAGTTGACCTCTCAAGTCTATTATGATTGAAACCAAATATTGATCGACTACAGCGTCAAGTCAATCAATCAATCGAATAATATGCGCTTCAATCATGTCGACTTAATCGTCTCCGGGATGCATAACAATAGTTAAGAGCCCTTTCACATTTTTTTGCAAAAACTCGTAATTTTTAAGCGCCTCGTTTACCCCTATAGAAATAATTTTGACTATTTTCAATAGATGTAAACAGTAGATTTATTTTTCCTATTGTAAGTAAATGTAGAATATTTGCAAATACTATTTTCCTTTTTTTGTATTGATCGTTCTACTGCATTTTTACAAACGCCTAAATCTCTCAATAATGTTCAATAAATTAGATCACATTAATTGCTACGACGTCAAAAATATGTTTTTATTGTGACATAATGTATTAGAATTTTGATTTTCCATCTCATTAAATAACATTTAACCTCCGTGAGTTTTCTCAAAAAATAATGCAGGTTTACCTCGTAATTTGATATTGAAATAAATAGAATTACTCTCAAAAACTTTCATAAATCTAATCTACCATCATTGAACTACTGAAATATGTATACATTTCTATAATTAGTTCATTAATAATAAGTTTATAAGACTTGAAACATCACCCGTAAAATGCAATATTACTATTGCAAATCTACCTACGCGCCGATCAGTACGGCAGCGGTGCAATTTTGTAAAAGGGCTCTTAATGTATATTAATTCTCTTTGTAAACCTAGGTTAGAAGCATTGATAAGGCTTTATATATATGTTATGATATAGGCCTATTGACACAATAAGTGATCAAGAATCAAAAGTTATTATATTAAATACAGAGTAATTTAATCAAATCTAAATGAAAACAAACGATTTTCAAGTAGTTGTAAACTATTGACTTATTAGTTCTTCGGTATAACGTTTTACTGAAAATGATATTTTCTTAACTAAATTGCGTTTATTATTTCAAATTCTCCGTATTCGAAGTTTTTTGAATTTTTTGAGGTATCAACTTTAAGCCCAACTTTCACCAAAGTTATTAATTCAAATGAACGCTTAATCGTCTGCATTCCATCTTTATCAATCGCTTAAAGTCAAATAGAGATAGAATGAGACTTATCCAAACACGATTAAGTTTTAAATTTGAATTGAAAACTTTTTTTTTGCAATTTGGCCTCATAGATCAAATTTAGATTTGGTTGAAAATACTCACCTGGCTATAGTAGTCGACTCTATGTAATCTAAATCCTTCAAATTTTCTACATTAGCATGTTCGATGCTGTTTCTATTGTAATCTTCGTTAACTATAATGATATCTGAATCATCGTCTTCAGGGAACACTATCTGCTTGTCTTCCAAGTTCACTATATGTGACGGTACACCATAGTTCTGGTAGATTATTATCGGATCTGCCATCCTTTGCCCTCTCGAGTTTCCTAGTGTCTGGAAATTCCAAAACGTCTGAACATATCAATAACGAGTGTTCAAAATTTCCATAATCGGATGATAAATGATAATTTTGCCCCAAAATTTATGCATACAATTAAAATAATGACGAAAAAACTGCAAATTGTACAAAAATGGTTTTATCGAAATGAAATAAATATGATTGGTCATTGTTTGATTTAAAATGTTATATATAGTATACGAATTAATTAAAATTCATGCCGTTAATAGTCCTATTTTAAGATGAAACCCATAGGTTATTATGAATGTTATATCTTAGTCAAATAAAGATAGTAGCAATTTATGCTTTAGTAAGTACAACACCGACTGATTTAAAAAATAATATTTCACCAATAAGTAAATCCAACTGAAATAATAAAATGTTTCCGAGATTAGTTAATTATCCCAGATGATGCAATTCAAGAAACTCTTAAAGAAAAAGATGCGATTAATGAAACTGAGAAAAATAAAATACACCCAGATGAACACCGCAATCTCTATTTTGGAAACTCCTCACCTGAATTTGTATGACTAAGTAATGAAGGCAGGGTAACAGTCTTGAGGCGCTGCTGCGCTTTGGAGGTAACATCTGTGAGGACACAGCAGTTTCCTTAGTTCCCAAGCGGCGTGCGAAGATTGTCAGTTAAGAGTCAGTACATAAATAGAGATAAATAAATCGTCAAGATATTTTAGAATATGTTGTTGGTACTCCGATAGCTCGCGTAAGTAGAAAAGATGATTAAAATATCTGGTTTTGTAGTGAGTATCAGAAATTTCAACTTGTTCCTGGATTCGAACCAGCAATCTTGGCTATCTGGGCACTACCGATTAAGCTATAGGAACCTTAATAGACACCATTATATTTTTAGACATTTAACTGCTATATGTTTAAATGTAAAGAATATATTACTAGAAAAAATTTACCCGGTCAGGTTTAGATTGGATTGAACCTGTATCATCCGCTACCTTGGCGGATGCACTATCAAATTACCTAATCGAGACCCTAATGGTCTAAATAGCGGACAATGCCGGGGTTTGAATCCCGTCTGAAACCATGAATTTTTTTCTAGTAATGTTACCTAATGGACACGCTGATTTTTTCAAATTTTTCTTTGGTTGCAATTCTGAAGAACACTTTTTAGTAACGTATGAAGTGAAAACACTTCATACGTTACTAAAAAGTTAAATTCATGACAATGACAAAGACGGCTTGTAAAGGTGCCAAACAAACGATGGAGAAGGAATGGCGATTCAAGTAGATTTAATTACGTTTATTTCAGCATTTAACTGCTAGGATTTCCAAACTTTTCGATCGATATTATTGTTTGAGAGATTTAATAATTTTACTGATATTAAATAGTAAATATTAATTCAACATTGTAATTTGGATTATTTTAGAGAGTGATTAACCGAATTTATATAGCAGCAGCTAAAATGTTCATTGAGCAATTACAATTTTCGCATGAAAAGATCGAGTAATAACGATTTCATATCATTAGAATTTACATAAAACTTGTTCCAATAAAATTGGCTGAAATGCTATTCGGGAAATTTCATGGCTTAGAAACTTGAAATGATTTACAATTTCTTAAGCTTCTTTGATAAGATTTCCAAAAAGCACTCACAAAAGCTATTAATCCGTGTAATTAGTCAAAGTTAAATTTAATATCGTTGACCGTACTCATCCTTAATAACATTGATGTAATAGTGATTACCCACGTTGATACTGAGTTCAATTGTAAAATGGCAGCCGTAAAGTTTACGATCAATTTTACGATACCCATAAAAGTGTTATACCAATAAAATTTACTTTATGTTATTTGTGTTACATTAGATCTAATTCCAACCGTGGATTCTGAATTGTCTCCGTCTTCCATTATTCATTCTATTTTAAGCTTTGAGATTGTTAACTAAAAGTGTTTTATCGTTTAATTTAATTTAGGAAGAGCCTTGATAACTTTCGCTTCATTCCTGTCTCTTAGATTAAACATTCCTTTGTAATTATAATTTTGATTCAAGTTATTCTAATATAACAGGTATTTTGTTGAAGTTTTTATGGACATTTGAAGCCTTTGATATGTGATTTTGGATAATAAAAAAATACAAAATATTAATCCCTAAGAAAGAAAATTATAAAAATAGCCTTTATTTTATTTTTTATATTAAGCAGGAAATGAATGAGAGTTCTAATCCTATCTTAAAAATATAAACCAATATTTCTTGGTACTAAAATAAATATGCGATATATTTATCTTTTGCTAGCACAAAGTGGAAAAAGGTCTCTTAGGAAATCCAAAGGAAATCTAGGAGAGCCAAATACGTTTTTCATTTAAGTGTCGTTGGCCCAGTGCTCACTTAGTATTATTAAAACTTCCAAATGACTTATTATAAGATTGAATGTCATAGCTGCAATTTTATTTAATATTAGATCTTATTGCCACAGTTAAGTAATTCTGTATTACCGATGTGAGAGTTCAGATACAGAACAGTGGTCGGAACAGAACGTTAGATACCGACGTAATCTCAACCTTATTGAATTTATAAGAACGTCTGCTTTTGCATCTCCCATGGTTACTGCTTTCCGAGTTTCATTTTATTATATTTCACAGTTTTCAGATCGGTTTGAGACTGTTGTTAAATTAGTCGCTTCGTTACCACTGGGGCTGTTCGCGCTGATTCTAACTCTTATAAAGGGAATAACAAGTGAATCTACATTAACTGCTACGTTTATTGGGAAATTAACCTTAAAAGTAGTTACCTCGTTTTCATCGTAGATGTCTCTAGCTTGAGAGTTGAAGCTTGGTGAGGCTTTGGTGCTGGTTGTAGCTGTGTTGCCGTAGAGAGCATCTCGAACCTTGTCTATTTTACCTGTTACAAAAATAGACACAAAAATAATTTTATTTACTGTTTGCATGAGAACGTTAAGCTTGCAATTGCTCGCTTGTTTAATCTTGCAATTCCTTCATTCTACTATGAATTGGAAAATTAAGCAAATTATGTAAAACTAGCGGCCCACCCTCGCTTCGCTTCGATGTAGAGCTAAAGTGTAGACTACAGTTTTTGTTCTCAGGCTTGTATTATACAAAATGACATTCATCTATGATTCTTCTTATACCTGCATGCAATATCTCAGCCCGATCGGCTTAAAATAACTTTCATTCCCTATTCTATCCCCTTGGGGGTAGAATTGATCAAAATCCTTTCTTAGCGGATGCCTACGTCATAACATCTATCTGCATGCCAAATTTCAGCCCGATCCGTCCAGTGGTTTGGGCTGTGCGTTGATAGATCACTATGTCAGTCAGTCCTTGAGTTTTATATATATAGATGTTTTCACGCAAACCACTCATTCAAAAACAAAAGAGCGTACTCGCATTTGTGATACTCCTGGTGTTGCAGATATTCATGGGCGGTGATCATATACAATTAGATGAGCCGTCAGCTTGTATGCCTTCTGAGTATGATTAAAATTCATTTTGGCTGCCTTCGAATTTACTTCGAAGTTTTGATGCACAATAGAGCTAAGTGCAGTTTTAGAAATAAATAAAGATATAATGTATATATTTTAATAGATCAATAGCTGATTTTAATATAGGTTGAAAGCATCAAAGTACTTGAAAAAAAAATTATGGTTCAACTTTGCCCAAATATTAGGCTGGAATCAAATCAACATCATTTATGATTCGAAACCAACGGACGTACTAGTACTTAAATGTTATGAACAACTTTTGAATTAATTTTAAATGTACTCCAAATTGAAAACGTGGCATTCATAAATGAATGTCTTTCGCTACTAGTAATTTTTATTTAAATCGCTGGCAGTTATCTCCCAATTTTATTACAGCATTGACGCTTCTACCCTACAGACAAAATATTACCGAGTAGAGGACATAAACGGCCAAAGATCCCCAGCACGAATTAGCTTACTATGACTGCAGACATTGTTAGTTAATGGTTACTTCTACTACTCAGCATGACTGCTACTTTAGAGAGGAGCAATTATTGTTGTTTACTCATCTGGCTACGTTTGCAAAACTTTCTCAAAGCATAGAAAGATGCCTGCTATCAATTTACCCGCTGTCTGCTGACGATGACACACGAGGACACGTATTTTTTATTTTTCCCGCTATCCAATGTTACATAGATGTATTCATTTGAAATGTCGAATGACGTCACGTTTTCGGAAAATTATTACTAATAAGTGACGTCATGAGACCCCACTCCCAAACTTGAATTGCATTGAACGCGCTTGAGATTGGTCATTTTTTTTGGTTGATTGACAAAAATAAATGTTCATTATTTTTTTTACAGTCTGACTGAAAGACTTGATAAAATTTCGTTTACTGTAATCCGTCAACATCCCTATTATTATAAATAAAAATTCTGGAAAACACCATCACATGAAATATAATTCTTTTATATTAATATTGGTTATTAAGATTTAATAGAACATCGCTGCCCTGTTATTAAGACTGGAAACGATGTAACATCCTTTGCTGTGTGCGAAAATATAAAAAACTTTTGATTTAAAAGCACTTTATTAAAGTGCTTTTAAAGGAAATTATTTCAAAAAAATAAACTAGAATAATTAACACTTAAATAGAATATTTCATCTTAGCGTTCAACTGCTTCATTTTTTAACCCAACAAATCCAATCACACAATGAAGGGGGAATTTACAGTGTTGATATTTTTCTATTGAAAATTATCTTTAGATTAAGTTTAGAAACATTTTGCTGGGTTTATAATTTAGACGGAATTGCAACAAATTAATTATAAATTACGTTTTAAAACATTGTGTTCGGCTCATTATTTCGGCAGAATTTGACTTCAATTCAACAATGTTGGATTGAGCAAAAGTTAAATAAAACCAAAATCCGCTCGCCATTCTCATCTGCAGATTAATTCACACCGCCCAGTCTGTGAGGGGCTTGAGTACTGTGCAAACACTCGCTGGGTCGCACCGTTAAAAAATTCCAGCTATAATTTTTATCCAGATTTTAAAATGGATAACAGAAAAATTTCTGAGCTGAAATCAGATCATAAATTTTCTGAAGATTTTAAAGATTTAACTTTCAGTCATCAACAATATTAAAATTTAATAAATAAATTATTTTGTTTTTTTATACAATTATTAATTCATTATAATTTAAATAATTAAATATCAAAAATGAATAAATAATTCGAATACAAAAAAATAATGTAATTAAACTTGATATAGTTAAAATAAAGTTAATTAAAATAAAATTATTATTTATTAAAAATAAAAAAAAACAATTCATTTTGGAAGTATCTACTAAATAATGTAGACAACCCTGAAAGTTAAACTGTAGACAGCAAATTAAAACACAATTTCTTATTTATTGTACTAACCAAGTCAAATCTTGACTTTGTGTCGATCCTAAGTCAGGTAAATATATATTTCTTACTACTTGCGTAAAAAAATAGAAAAACACTGTTATAAATACCTGATAAACGTACATAATTATTAACATAGTGAGTTAAAACGTCAAATAAACAAACAATCAGACAGAATAACAGAAAATCCTGCGAATATTGCATCAATAGAACTATTATTGGACTCTTTTAAAAATTAGATCTGTCAAAGTAAATTTTACAGCATGGTAACGCAGAAGGCATAAGTCCTTGTGATGCAAACATCTATTTATTGTTTTAAACTTTCATGGTCACTAACATTATAGTAACACTAGCAAACCAGTGAACCAAATGTTCACCAAAACCTGATTTTTCGAAAACCGGAAGTACTACGTTACTCAAATCCGGTTTGTAGTCTTATCAGACTATTCTTAACTTATAACTTAAATATTCTCTTTATCTATCTCTTACAGTTTGGCCGCTGAAACAGCACCACAGACAGACGGACGGACTTGTCTAATAGATAAAAGATAAGTTGTTTACGGGATTGTTACCATGTACCATGTAAACTTGCTAAAAACAAGGTACATGGTAACAATCCCGTAAACAACTTTTATTACAACAAACATCTTTTGGCTACATATACTTTCCAGGTATTAGGATTTATTTAAGTAACCATTCTAATACTTTTTTAGAATTACACCAAACAGTAATACTAGCAGTATTTCATTTAATCCATATAAGTGTTACTAAACTTAGTTGAACTATAAAGTTACCTCTTATATCTCAGAAATTCAAGGACACAGTGGTGGTGAAATTAATATGGATACTGTGTTAATTAGATTTAGCTAGTGTAATTCAGTGAAAATAGGGCTTCAGTCTGATATTGAGAGGGCCTGATTAATAATCTGTTTTAGTTATTTCCAATGTAAATATACTATTATTAGTAGTGCCTATTAGATTTCTGTTCTAATCTTCATCCGCATGTGAAAATACTGAATTGCCAAAAGATTTAAATGCGTAGTTAGCAAACAACAATTCATAAATACAATAATCTCTTATCTATTAGACAAGTCCGTCTGTCTGTGGTGCTGTTTCAGCGGCCAAACCGTAAGAGATAGATAAAGAGAATATTTAAGTTATAAGTTAAGAATAGTCTGATAAGACTACAAACCGGATTTGAGTAACGTAGCACATCCGGTTTTCGAGAAATCAGGTTTTGGTGAACATTTGGTTCACTGGTTTGCTAGTTACCTTTATTGTGATTCATCCAGCGACGCGACGTCACGATAAATGTCAAAGTGTCCCCGCACACGAGCCACACACCATAGCCACAAACGCTGCTACGAGAAGCTAGAAGCGGCTACTAAAGTGGCTGAAGCGCGCGACAGGGCCGACTAAGGTAAGGGAGAGAGGGGTGGGGAATCGCGCGAGTGACGTGTGGCGGCGTTTTGTATCGGCGCATTAAGTTGCCGGTGCGGGCCACAAGAAGTGAGCAACGACGATTTGTAGCGTGTGGCGGCCATCGGCGTACCGTGTGTGGCGAGTCCATATAAAATGTATGAATACTACAAGAAATATGCCGGTGGCGGCGTTTTGTGGTTGTGGTCGGTGGCCCGTGTGCGGCTACACAAATAATCCCTTTGTAAATAAAATAAACTTTTCTACATAATAACAAGATCCAGCTCTGGCGCTTTCTATAAGCACTGATCGTCGTGTCGATCGTTTACGTGGAATGGAAAGATAACATGACATTCGGAACGCACAAAAAAATCAACAAGTTTTCAATTTTATTACTGCAAGTAAAAGCCAGAAACGTAATATCTTCGGATACTGAATCTCGTATACTTAAGGTACGACGGCTCACGACAGTCGTCGGGCGCGCGCGTCTGTTGCTGGTCTCGGAAGTGGTGCCATACGCTTTCATACTATGACTATTGTCGCGAGCGACTGACGACAGTTGTACTGACGACAGCCGCGCGCGGTCGCGATCGATCGCGATGCAGAGAATTGTACCTTTATGGTCGAACTAACTTATTTTAATTTGATATCGATTTGCAAAAAGGAGGAGGTTCTCAAAAGGTTCTCGAAGTATATCTTTTTTATGGCTTTAGCTGCTTTTTATGGCCCAGTGCGCTCTATTGTCTCAGCCTACTCTACCCGGGACTCGGCGTGAAGATAGATAGATAATGTCCAGTGTCCATATTGCTAGGGAAATGACACCGCTACTCACCTCTGGACTTGTTCTTATAAGTCTTCCTTTGGTCCCCCGGCCGCTGTTCATGGGACTGGTCGTCTGAGGAGCTTCCTATCATAGCCCTATAGCGGCTATCTGCTCTGCTGCAAATAAACCGAAATTTAAATAAACGTTAATTCTCGAAGAATCATCGAATATTGGTGGTGATCTTCGTGTAAAAGTTACTTTTATGAAAAGAAAACTACTTGGATTGGATCGATTTTATGGAGATGCAATTACACTGAAGACCACAGTAAAACAATACATCATCATCAGCCTATTAATGTCCCCACTGCTGGGGCACAGGCCTTCCCTATGGATGGAATAGGGTGATTGGGCCATGACCCACCACGTGGGCCCAGTGCGGATTGGTGGGTGCTAACGACTGCAAATGCAGCCGGGACCAACGGCTTAACGTGCCTTCCGAAGCACGGAGGAGCTCGAGATAGTAAATTTTTGGCCACCCATCCAATGATCGACCACTGCGAAAGTTGCTTAACTTCAACGATCGCAGCCGAACGCGCTAGCCACCTGCACCATCTCCTCAAAACAATACATCGAGTACTTTTTGGAGTATGTAATGAAATGAAATTATACTTTTTTCAAATTGACTTATTGAAAGTTTTTTTGATTAGTCCAATATTTTTTCCGGACATCTTTTAGCTGATGAGAAGAATGGGCGCAAGAAACTAATCAGCATTTAACAGAAGTAGCAACATTAACAAAAAAAAAACATGCCGCTACAAATAAGTAATTTCTAAATTTTTGAAAACTGCTTAATTTTAAAGATTGGGACAAACGATTTCACGGAAAAATAAAAATAAATTAATTAATGTCCTTTTTTTCTACATTAGACCAATTAAAGTTGAAAAATTCAATTTTTTTTTGCAAATTTCTTCGCTACTATTCCTGATTTATGTGCTTCAGAGTTTCGAAACATCAAAAATTTTGTGTAAGTATTATACTACATTTTTTTCCGAACGTAATAAAAGTTGGATATAAGAGGAGCTCGTTCGAGGGTTAGCACGTTCGGCTGCGATCGTTGAAGTTAAGCAACTTTCGCAGTGGTTGGTCACTGGATGGGTGACCAAAAATATCAAAATCTCGAGTTCCTCCGTGCTTCGGAAGGCACGTTAAGCCGTTGGTCCCGGCTGTATCTGCAGTCGTTAGCACCCGCCAATCCGCACTGGGCCCGCGTAGTGGGTCAGGGCCCAATCTCCCTATTCCATCCATAGGGAAGGCCTGTGCTCCAGCAGTGGGGACATTAATAGGCGGATGATGATGATGATGAATGAAAGTTAATAATTTGACCTTAGATGTCGCTAGGTGCGCTTAAATGTGATTCATGTAAGTTGATTTCTTTACAATAGATGTCGCTAAGTGCGCTTAAACGTGATTCATGTAAGTTGATTTTTCTGACAGATAAACTTTTTTAATGTAATATAAATTTTCATGCTTGTGTACGACAGCGCAATAAATAAATATTGTATTCCACCACATACATGATAGTACTTTTATACTGATAATTAAGGCAATTCGTACAAAATTATTCCCTAACAATTCCAAACTATCAAAAATGCACAACGTTAATATTCAAGTTTTCACTTCTGCCGGCACTCCCGGAGTGCAACCCGTCGTTTTTTTTTGTGTGAAATTGTTTGACCCAATCTTTTAATATAAGCAGTTTTCAAAAATTTGGAAAATATCCTATTCACCTGCACTCACATTTTGATAACTGTGTCATCTCTACTATATAAAAATAAGTCGGGTTTTCCTTCCTGATGCTATAACTCCAGAACGCACGAACCGATTTCCACAGTTTTGCATTCGTTGGAAAGGTCTCGGGCTCCGTGAGGTTTATAGCAAAGAAAATTCAGGAAAAATTAAAAAAAAAATCGTTTTCTTTTAATCACAAAACGAAATGTTACATAAAACGAAGCTATCTGGTGGCGAAGCGGAGTTCGCTGGGTTTGCTAGTACAGTATAAATATAAATGTATCTAGTTGGTTGCTCTGCGGAAATCTGGATGGATGGACTAGGGCATATTTTTTGCTTTATTTCTTAGCTATCTTCCCGACGACGACTTTTAGATAACACCAGGTATTAAAAAAAACAGTAACAAAGCACTATGAGGTTACAATTCGATTGGTTCATTAGATCCATTAAAATTTCTAGATAGAATTTACACTTGAAAAAAATAATACCTGGGTTGGTCTCGAAAGGAGATTGCTCAAATTGGCCCAAATGTACAAAAAATATTGACATATACGGTAATTCTTGGCGTAATTTATACTTTATTTTACAGTCATTAGATTTTAACAAACACCTTTGTATAATATATTCATTTTAAAAAGGACTTTTATATTTACCGGTTTGGAAAATATACGAATCATTTTTAATGGCTAAGTTGTTTATATAACATCAAAACAAATCTGTTATGTAAAGATCGATAAAATAAAACATTTTATTTAATTACACTGTGGTATTAATATCCACAAGTATGCTAAGACAAATATTATAGATGGTAGGCGACATCATAAAGTCTATTGCCATACATTTTTCGCCAAACACATTATAAGGTGTGATACACTAAAAATCTAAAATATGGTTATAATATAAACATAACAAAAAAAAATAAGCTTTCTTTAGTTAACGAGAGTTTAAAAATTCTCTCCAATCTGTGGCTCATTCACAAATAACACACATTTTCTGTCACAGAGTACCTTATTATATGGAAGCTGAGTAATCTCCTTTACAAATCGTATAACATCACCAATAACATCCAGATTGATTTTCAGTGTTGACGTTACAAACATCCATCCACATCTATCAGCTTTAGTTTTAAAAGCACAATCCACATATCCAATCAGATGGATTGCTTTCACGAGTTTGTCATTCTAATAGCATTCCATGTTGGATTGGCTTCGTTTCCGTAGGAGAGGATATAACTTAGTTCATATCAAATTTAATCAAAATCATTTATTCAGTTTAGGCTGTTACAAGCACATATGAATGTCTAGAAGCTACGCCATCGGTTCGTAAATCTACGGCGGGAGACCTTGTACTGAGAAGAACCGGCAAGAAACTCAGCAAGGGCTGTTTTTTCTTCCTGTTTTATCATTTACAGAGTCGTCAAGTTGAAAAATGACTACAGAGAATTTTGATGAAGTCACCTTTCATTACATAATGTGAAATTATACATTAATTGTTCACCTGCATTTTGATTGATGTGTCACACAGTATAAATACAAACAGAGTTATTTATAATAGGACATAGATCAATAATATAATAAGGTACCTGATACAAATAAGGCCAATGCTGAAATAAGGCCTGTAGTGCAGAAAAGTCTATTAAAATATGTCTACATCAAAAATACTTTACATACGAGTACGTATAGATGACAGTTCTACAACTCGGCAAACTGTGCACGAGCGGTCTGTTCGAGCTCATAGCGTTATTAGTGGCGGTACTTTGTGAAGGACGAGCTTTTTATACCACCTTATTAATTTGTCGTAATCTTTAACGAATTTAATACGTTACTCTTTGATGTTTTGTGTCATGTAAAGTATATGGATCACAATATAATTTATCAAAAAGTTGACTGTGACTTAAATTTAACTTTTTAGAATATGCGAATTAAAAACTACTTATAACTTTTATGAAGTATAATGTACTAAATAAAGCCTACTTTTATAAAAGGCCTTATTTTTATCAAATATATCTATCAAAATATATTCATTTTCCAATAATTAATAATATTTACGAGAAGATAATGTTAATTTGCTCATTTTTGTTTGTATGGATGATGTTTTTATATTATTCCTTAACTCTTGTTAATATGCGACTTCAAATCTGATTAGCAATTTAAGCAAAATATTTAGTAAAATAAATAAGAATGTTGTTCAAGGATCCCATGGAAACACTTGATTAAAGGCTCAGAAATAAATATTTTAATATAATTAATACTTTAAAAACAATATTCCTATAATTTAATTACACAGGCTTTGTTAAGTCACTATGTTTTTAAAAGGCCTAAAGCTAAGGTTCCAGAATTAGCTCTTTTTAAGTGAATTGAAGATTTCTGAAAATAGATTGTAATATGTTTTCTTAATAACTTAAAATTGATGAACTGAGGAATAATGCTTTGCTTTCATTTATCACTTTCTTCGAATAATTTATCATGAAATGAGTGTTTGAAATTAGGTAGGCCTTATTTGTATCACTTACCTTAATATGTAAGAATGAGTCTTATACTGCTTGAGCACGGCTTAGGCTAAGCGTTTTTGGTTAAGATTATTAGTTTACACTAGCCCTTCGCTTTCACTTGGAGGCGTGCTTTTTACATTCATAATGAGTACTAGAAAATTTTCATAACAATTATGTGGTATGTGAAGCTGCTTCCTATATATCACAAATATAAAGCACACTATATCCTCTCACACTCTCACACGCACTTTCTCTCTCTAACATACACACACACACACACACAATTACTTTTTGAAGTGAAAACTTCTTTAGCGGCGTTGTACATACACTTTTTTTGTATGAGTAAAAAATGTTAAACTCGCGTCAGGTTAAACACGTGGGCTGATCGCATTATGACAAACAATAAAATTGGAAAGGTTGTTGACTTTCAATATATTGGACGAAACATAGTAATATTTTATTTTATCGTATTATAATAATAAGTCTCTATCTAGGACAGCCACGTGGCAGCTTTATTGCGAAGAAAATGCATTTTTTTACAATAGAGGTCGCTAGGTGCGCTTAAATGTGATTCATGTAAGTTGATTTCTTTACAATAGATGTTGCTAAGTGCGCTTAAACGTGATTCATGTAAGTTGATTTTTCTGAGAGATAAACTTTTTTAATGTAATATAAATTGTCATGTTCGTGTACGATAGCGCAATAAATAAATATTGTATTCTACCACATACACGATAGTACTTTTATACTGATAATTAAAGCAATTCGTGCAAAAAATATTCCCGAACCATTCCAAAATACATATCAAAAATGCACAACGTTAATATTCAAGTTTTCACTTCTGCCGGCACTCCCGGAGTGCCACCCGTCGTTTTTTTATTTTATTTTTATTATTGTGTTACTATTTGTTTCTTAAGCACTTCTCATATTAATAAATACATAGATCACATAAATGGTACAAATTTGGCTTGCTCTGTTCATGTAGTTTTGGGAGTGGAGGCCTGGTGTCTTGTAGAATAGGTTTATCCTATTGCAGGCACCAGTCTTCACATTGAGTAATTAAATACATATTGTAATTATGCACTTTATTGTAATTTTTTTTTCTACTTATGTGAAGAAACTAATAATGAATTTATTACTATAACACTTATAGTAAATATCTATATTGTAAATTATGTAATGGAAGGTGATTTAAGAAGTATCTCTAAAGTAATTTTTCAACTTGACGACTCTGTATTATAATAACACAGGGAGAAAAAAAGCAGCCCTTGCTGAGTTTCTTGTTGGATCTTCTCAGTACAAGGTCTCCCGCCTTAGTTTTGCTAACCGATGGCGTAGCTTCTCGACCTTCACAAGTGCTTGTAACAGCATAGATAATGATTTTTGATTTGATTTGAATGTCGTGGCTGTTAGCCACCTACTAATCATGATTGAGACGGTAAAAGACATCCGGCATAAGTTTGCTTAGCTATCTAGATGTAGTTAGACTTTTGATATTTCTTTGGGTTCAGTCAACGAATCGGAAATGTATGGAACACGAGCTTCACTAAAAAGTGACTCCACGCAAACTGCGATCAAGTGAGCCGGGCGTAAAAAGTACGATTAACACGCCGATCAGTCTGTGACCGCATCCAGTGAAAGGCGATCGCGTAATTTATGAGTCCAAATCCTAAAAAAAGGCTTTATAACGGACAAAAATGTCCCCCTGTGATGTTTAGTGGTGTAGAAGACTGAAAGACGGAAGTAAAAAGAAAACAAGCATAGCCATGCTTCCATATCATTTCTATTTATTTAATATTTATGGACAAGTCATTTGTAGTTCAGGCTGCTCGTTTGTGGAATGCCTTGCCAGAAGCAATCAGAGGTGCTTAAACATTAGCTTGTTTTAAAAGAATGTTAAAAGAACATTACTTGACATATTAGCAGGTCGTCACATCATCCAAAGTATGATTGAAGTGTTAGTGTCTTTATAAATAGATGTATTATGTTTATGTATTTGTATTTTATTTTATTTTTTGTTGTACATAATTATTTATAAGTGTTATTAATGGTAGTTGCACTTTGAATGACACCATCTACTTCCCACTCTTTATGTAACAGTCCAGTTAACATACGGTTGCCTGGAAGAAATTGCTTCTAAGCGATAAGGCCGCCGTTTGTACTATTATGTAATAGTTTTAATTAATTGTAATTTAAAATATCATGGTGTACAATAAAGTGATCATTCATTCATTCATACAGACACAATAAAACAGACGCCGAGATTTTTCACCGTATCACTATAAGGGATATTGATTCCACCTATGGATACTGGCGGCAAGTGAAAGGAACGGCAGGAATGTGATATATACCTACTCCCTATGATGACTGCCTGAGATTTACTTGGATTAACTGAGAGACCATAAAATAATACTGTTTAGGTCTTCATTAATGGCTGATATCGTGGAGTCCGTTTCGTCAATATTAAAATGACGGTAAAGCTGCAAATCGTCTGCGTAGAAATGAAACTTGGAGGAAATTACTCTAGTCACAGAGTTAATGAAAATAGAAGTCAATGATTCTAATTCGTTGGCTTAAGTAAAAACAGACTTACCTATCAGCTAACGGTGAAGATGGTTCATCCAACGCCTTATGCCTTTCGATCTCTTCGCTGGAAGGGAACTCTCCAGGTCTCGGCTTCACCAGCAGAGTTAAGTTGGCGCTTGACCGTCCAGCGACGCAGGTGTAGACGCCATGATCACGCAGGGATAAAGATGTGATGCGGAGTGCTCCCTGTGACAAAACAGAAAATTTAGATGGCTGTAGCACTGCCTATTTGCAAGTCTTCATCATCATCATCATCAGCCTATTAATGTCCCCACTGCTGGGGCACAGGCCTTCCCTATGGATGGAATAGGGAGATTGGGCCATGACCCACCACGCGGGCCCAGTGCGGATTGGCGGGTGCTAACGACTGCAGATGCAGCCGGGACCAACGGCTTAGCGTGCCTTCCGAAGCACGGAGGAACTCGAGGTAGTAAATTTTTGGTCACCCATCCAATGACCGACCACTGCGAAAGTTGCTTAACTTCAACGATCGCAGCCGAATGCGCTAACCACTTGCGCAATCGAGCTCCTTAAGTCTTATGGCATTAAAACCCCGTTTCTACTAAAGCGGAAAGGAGCACTGGAGCAAAGAGGAGAGTAACTCTTTGATGTTTCCACCGAAGCGGAGCGGAATACAGTGTGTAATTCAATCTTAATGGTGAAATTATCATAGTTGCGTTGCTTAGGTTTCTGTCAGAGAAACCCCATAATATCTAAAATCACTTACTGTAATAGTAATTAAATAGATAAAGACCGCTCAACTCCCTTGCTTTCTGGAGAGTATCTATTCCTATAATTATCATAATAATGTCGGGCGAAAAACAGCCATGCTGCCTGAAGTATCTACAGAAGTCTAACGGAGATTCCTTGATTGATTAATTCACGCACATACAGAGATCGATGGCGCAAATGGTTAGCGCGTTCGCCCTGTTTTCGTGGAAGTTAAGCAACTTTCGCAATGTCGGTCATAGGATGTGTGACCAAAAACTTGTTATCCCGCGACCCTCCGTGTCTCGGAAGGCAAGTTAAGCTGTTGGTCTCAGCTGCATATGTAGTCGTTAGCACGTACCAATCCGCACTGGGCCTGCGTGGTGGGACTTAGCAAAGTCTCCCTATTTCATCCATAGGGAAGGAAAGCCTTGCACTGCTGGGGCAGTGGGGACATTAATAGGGTGTAATATAATCTATCTTCGCCTTGGTAAAGGCACCCTAATAGGGGTGATGACGGGGTACAGTAAACGAAATTCTATTTAGTCCGTCAGTTCGGTGACCAAAAAATAATGGACACGTATTTTTTCTTTGGGCAATCAACCAAAAAATTACAAAGTTATAGCGCGTCAAAGGGAGTAGGGGCTCGTGACGTCACTTTTGAGTGAAAATTGTAGTTGTTTAATTGTAAAACGTGACGTAATGCGAATTTTCAAATCAATATATCTCTGCAATGTTTATATTATGTGAAAAAAGAAAAAATACGTGTCCAATACTTTTTGATAATCTATCTGATAAACGAAGAAAAAAAATTAGTCATCATCCCTATTGTTATGTATTTATCTACCTTATGAATTCATGTTACATGCAAAACTTTGACGACGATACCTACAACCGAAAACTTTTATTTAAAAAAAAAAAAAAAAAAAGTTTTCGGTTGTAGGTATCGTCGTCAAAGCTTTGACGACGATACCTACAACCGAAAATTTTTATTTAAAAACAAAATTGACATAATAAGTTTACCTTCTTTGAGATCTTGTATTTCTTCGACTTGGTGATAATCTGGTGGTCTTTCGCCCACTGTATTTTCGTCCTGTTGTACCCTTTGACAGGACATTTTATTTTCACTTGAGTCCCATAAAATATCGTCGCGGAACCACCGACTTTTACTGTCACCTGTTTTCAGAAAAAAAAAGAATTCATCACAGTAATGTAGCAACTTGTAATAGAAGTATACAAAATACCTCTTTAAGCTTTTAATATGATAAAGTTAAAACAACTCAAATTCAAAACACATACACAAACTACGATAAATCAAACAAGATTTAATGTAATGTTTAATATAATTTAAGGCTCAATTATACAAAAAATATCTTTAAATTAACTTTAAAGAGAAACAACCGCGATGAAAACAAAAAAAAACGGATCTGTATAACTTGAAAATTGGTGCGACAAGTCCAAAGATAAGGCAGATACAGGACACTAAACAATTTAACCCTAGATTCATAAACATACTTGGGAGATACACTATTCATAAACATTCGCCTCTCAGACGTATATATTATTTCGATGATATTAGATCTCTACAATAAAATAATTCAATAAAATACATTTGAATTTTAAAAGTTGTTTATTAATTAATAGTAAAATGAAACAGAAATAATGAAAAAAAAATATTCTGTGCAATCAACACATAACATTCCTCTGTGATCCATACACATGAACTTTTTGCATTGGGTACAAAAGAACCTTGTCATTCGACGTTTTTTATAATTGCAGAAAGCACAATTTTTTTCTGTGATCCACTGGGTTGTGGTTGAGCAGTGGACGAAGTTTCGCCAAGTACTTCTGCAATTTTCCTTTTTAGGCATCGCTTCAAAGTTGGCATTATTACCCCCTACAACCTCACAAAATTTACCTCTTTATAATATTAGTATAGATGAAATAGGCAAATATCTCATTTCATCTTTATAAACTAATAATAATAATAAATATTTACGTTGAAATATACTCCAGTTCTCGAATATATCAGGGCTTCAAATAAACACACCTGATCTACAATAGTAACACTATTCATAAACATTCGTCTGTCGGACTATCTAATTACTATAACTCTTTTTACACATGTGTGTGGCGTGTGACTAGCGCAAACCTGATTCATTAATGAACCAGGAAGGTACTAAGGAGTTGAACTTTCTATCTCTTTCACTCTAAAAGTTATAAGCGTTTACGTGATTTTTGCGGTCTGTGAGACGAATGTTTATGAATCTAGGGTTAATGGATGTTTACAGAAGTTTCTAAGTGAAAAATGATTTTACAGTCTAGACGAATACTTTAAAGATAAATATATTTAGATTTTTAATATAATATGTAAAAGTCATTTAATTTTGATGTTAAAATTATTTTTATTATGTACTATTTATTTTTTATATTATTTAATGAAATGAAATTTTAGTCTAATAATGATCGACATTTTAAATTTACTTTTATATAGTATGTATTAGACTTGTTATTTACTAGATAAATTTTAGTGTAATGAAATTTTAATTTAATTTAATATTTGATATGTGTATTGTTTTTTGTTTGAATTAATCAAATCATTAATCTACAATTAAAAATAATGTTTACATTGTATGCTACCATAAAATTGCTATGCCCTTGCAGGGCGTCACATGTTATAAAACATTTTGTACCCTTGTACCATTTACACACTTGTGATATGCAATAAAGTTTATTATTATTATTAATCCAACTGTCTCATGATTGTTCAACAATTAATTACCATTGTGATTTAATTTTGGGATATCACGATTCAACCTTACGACCTTACTGCTGAGCATAATGGTTCACCCAAAAAAATGCAAGTCGATCAGTCCTAATCTTTCCGCATCAGTCTTAGATTAAAACAAAAAGGGTAGATACGGCACTAGCCTCACAAAAGTGATCCGCATAAATTGTGGTACACGACCCTAATCGCTTTAGTCACAACTTGACATGCAAACGGCGACGATGCCTAAGTGTGTTTTTAAAAAGTGCTCATATTGCTCAAGAACTAAAAATAAAACCCACGGCATCACTTTTCATTCGTAAGTAGTATAAAATATATTTTTTCATAAAAATTGCTGTTTGTTTTGAATCTTATTCGGTAGTGAAGTCGAGTACTGGTCGCGTGATTGGTCGGTAGTGCAGTGACGCGGATCTCGCCGTCTCGTTCGCGCTGCCGTTGAAACTTAACGTGCTGTTTCGTTCGGGTCGGTAATGCAGTGACGCGGATCTCGCCGTCCCGTTCGCGCTTCCGTGGGATCAGTTTTTGTTTGATGCAAGTATGAGCGTACCGTATCTACTCTTTTTGTTTTAATCTAAGGCATCAGTCTACCCAGTGGAGGACCTGCCCAGTGAGCGTCATCCGGTGCGTGGTCGCCACTCAAGAACCTTTCCGCCATAACGGCCATTGGCTATCGGTTATGATTAGGGTTACCATCCGTCCGGACGTGTCCGGAATTTTATCCTTTGGTCCGGACTTTGTCCAGATTTTTGGATTAGATGGATTATAAGTAAAACTACTTATTGAGTTATATCAAACACGTCAAATAATCTTTATTAAGTTCTCATAAATTTAAAACAAAATATAAATTATTTTTATAAATCAACAACGAGACCCTCCTCGCGATGCGAGCGTTTACTACCACGTGTATAATATCACTGTAACTAAATGGGCGATGTTTGCATTTTGTGACTAAAATGTCCGGACTTTTATCGAAAAGTCCGGCTTTTTGTCAGGACTTTTATTTTTTTTTAAATAGTAACCCTAGTTGTTATAATCATTATAGCTATTAACGGGATTGTTAACCATGTACCTTGTTTTCTATGAGTCTCCGATATTTCGGAATTGTTGCAAGTGCCATGAACAAGATCACAGAGTAACTGAAGTAATTGCGGGTAGATGTTATTGGTAGACATATCGGTCTACCCTCTGACGTCGTCTTTTACTGCGCTCGATACCTCTACCACTGATCACATTCTCACTATTCACTCGCACCTGTTCCCGACACCCAATACCCACAGTATCAGATCGCATTAAAAACAAGGCACATGGTGACAATTCCGATAATAGCTATAATGTTAGTAAACAAAAAAGTTTAAAAGAATATGTGATGATCATGCCCACCTTTTTCTTCTTCGGGTCGTGCTGAATATACGAGGAGTTAGCCAGAGATATTTCTGGAGAAGCCGTGTCCAGCAGACAGGGTCTGGAGTTGCAGGATTTGGTGGATGCAGGTCTTGGAGAGCTGCAGAGTGTCGCTGGCCGTTCCACCACATGAGACTGCGCCATTATCTGCTTGCACTCCACCTGGAGAAGTTTGTGGTAAAATATATTATACCATATTTTAATACCGAATGATTTTATACCTATTTTCAAAAGTCAAAATGTCTTTATAAAAAATATCTCACTTATATACGCCTAACCCAAAAGTTCAAAGTAAGTGCTATTCGGCTTGTAGGACAATTGGGTAATGGATAGAAAAATGCTCATGAATCGGGTACAAATGCTGTATCATTATACAATTCTTTGCTGCACCGGGATTCGAACCCACACACTGTTCACCTTCAACTTTGAAGGTGTACAGAACTTTGACGACCTCCGTGGCCGAGTGGTTTGTTCGCCGGGTTTTATGGTGACGCCGACTCGAGAGGTCCCGGGTTCGAATCCCGGTGGGGCCAGATGTTTGTGTGATGAATACGAGCATTTGTACTCCAGTCATGAATGTTCAATTTGTATTTCTATATAAATATACAAAAATATGTATATTCTATCCCATAACACAAGCCTTATAGTGCTTACTTTGGGGCTAGGCTAATTGGTCAGAGTGTTGTAAATATTTATTTATTTAAAACTGGCGTATATACCACGCCACCACAAAGGTTGTCAATGGTTGTCGCTGCCGCTGCAGAACTTGGAACAGTAACTTTTTTTCTGTATGACTGAGAGGTCAGTATTAGACATCGATATAGAGGGAATGAGCTATTCCTTTGCAAACTGTCAAATAAATTCGAACACGAATTTGTGCTTCATCGATCGCTTTATCTCTTTTACTGCCATATTTTAAACCTGAATACAGCTAAAGAAAATATAAATAGAAAAAAATCCACGCAGACCAGGCAGCAGACGGGACTCGAACCCGCACCCTTCGCAATCAGGGCGAATGCACTGACCAATTATGCTACTGCAGCCCTGACCGCGTCGACATTCTTCTAGCCATTCTTAAGCTGCAAGGCAGCGCCAAATTATAACTGAATACAGCTGTTGCACGTAAGCCAGCGCAAGGGAAAGTTCAGCACGTTCCAGTACTTTTATTGATTGACAGTACCGTTCGCTGTGGAGGTCTTGGAACACTTGGACCATTCACCGATCTGCCAGCGCACGGGATAATCCAGCACGTTGCAGTACTGTTGATGAGACACTGTTACCGTTCGCTGCTTGAGGCCGCCGTCGTAGGTCTTGGAACACATAGGCCTGTCGCCAGTCTGCCAGCTTACAGGACAGTCTAGCACGTTTCAGTACTGTTAATGGAAAGTACCATCTCCGTTTGAAGCCGCCACTGCAGGTTTTGAAACATTTGGACCGAATGCCAGTTTGCTAGTGCACAGTGCAATCTAGCACGTAAAAGTATGGGTGATGATGGACTGTTACCGTTCGTTGTTTGAGGCCGCCGCCACAGGTCTTGGAACATTTGGACCAGTCGCCGGTCTGCCATCGTACAGGGCAGTCTAGCACGTTGCAGTACTGTCGGTCAGGCGGCGGCGGTTGAGGGCACATGCTGTTGGGCACCACCACTGTGTTAGTGCCGCCGCGAGTCACCTAAGAAGAATGAATTTATTAACATATTATAGTCTGTATGAGACCGAATTACTCATTTTTTGTTTGAAATCTAAACTATTTTTTTAAGACCGAAATATTAATAAGACCGCCCAGGGTGGATTGGTGGTAAATTTAATAGATATTAAATTTTTGTTAACTCTTCCAATAACCGACCTGGGCGAAAGTTGCTTAACCTCAACGCTCGCAGCCAAATGCGATAATCATCTTAAAAAAATTACTATATAAGTCCAGGTTTCGAAAATTCGACCAGCATCTACCGCTATCCAGGCGGAGGAATAAGATAGAAATTTCGAGCAGTTAAAAGCTTAAAAATTGAAAATAATAAGGACATATATTTAAGTATCTAATTTCGTCTCAGTAAGACTAAATTCAACAGAAACATACCACTGGTTTGCCCAATTGTCTCACTGTGCGACATCCCACCTACGAACGGACATTCCCAGCTTCCCACCCGACTTTGCATAATTTCATAGTTTACCTACCTCGTGTATGCATGTCACTTCCCGCGTCTGAATCCCGATCCCACAGGACTTTGTGCACTGAGAGAATTCCGTGTAGTTCCACCTGCAATCAAATTTATTGTGCTGTATTCGAAATACTGACTCTTGAGGCTTCACTTCGGCTTAAGTATTGGTGTCAATTTTGGTACCATTCTCTAAACCTAAAACAGTTTATCTTGTTATTCTCTATACAGAGTGAAAAGGAGAGGCTGATGTTTTCAAAAAATATTAATTTATTTGCCACTAAAAGGAGATTGCTCAGCTTCCATACATGTTTGGCCTAAAGACCAATAATCATGAAAAATTGTTTCCTAGATTCGAAATTATATATAAATTACTTTAGAAACGAATATTATTGACGGCCACCCCTGAGAACTTCTATAAACCATAAACACTGAACATATTAAAATGATAAAAAACAAATAAGTTGTACAGTAAACTAGGGAAATCAAGCCAAGTACCGAAATTGTGGATTAGATTCAGGTATATAGAGCATGTAGATTAACAGATAGTTGCCTGTTTTTAAAGTTAATGCATAAGAGTAACTTTTAAAATCAGGTGCCATTTCCGGTTATAATAAGGTACTCTGTGACAGAAATGTGATGTGTGTGATGATTGTGAATGAGCCACAGATTAGTGAGAATTTTTAAACTCTCGTTAACCAAAGAAAGCTAAGAGATTTAGGTTCTATAGCCATATATTCAGTAGCTTCATTATTTTTGTTGTTTTTAAGATAACCAAATTTTAGATTTTTGGTGTATCACACCTCATAATTTAATTTATTTATTAATTTATAGTCAGGGAACGTAGACCCATAGATAGATACCTTACAGTCTAACATATATACAGATTATAATGTGTTTATGGAGGTGATTGGCGAAAAATATATGGCAATAGACTTTATGATGTCGCCTACCATCTATAATAATTGTCTGAGCACATTTGCATCCAGTGAAAATGATAATATAGTTGTGGATATTAATACCACAGTGTAATAAAAAAAAGTGATTTATTTTATCGATCTTTACAAAATAGATTTGTTTTTATGTTACATAAACAACTTCGGTCAGTCTTTGGCTGAATGTTACTACACCCATAGCCATTAAAAATGATTCGCATGTTTTCCAAACCGGTAAAATTATAAGTCCTTTTTAAAGTAAATATATTATACAAAGGTGTCCGTTCAAATGTAATGACTGTAAATTAAATTATAAATTACGCCAAGAATTACCGTGTATGTCAATATTTTTTGTGCATTTGGGCCAATTTGAGCAATCTCCTTTGTCGAACAAATACAGGGCTACGTTGCCCTTTCAATAGAATGGCTGAAACTGAAACTTACAACACTTTACAAAATATAAGTTTTGGTATGATGTTATTAAAATATTACATAAAGAGACATAGCATCTATATTAATATGTATAAAATATAGATGCTAAATCTATATAATAAACTCGCTTAGTGTAGTTATTTTTTATTTATGATGTAGTGATAATATTTATATAAAATAATACCGATTTGTTTATGAAAAATGTTTAATTACTTTTTGTTTGTTAAAATTATAGTTAAGCATAAGGATTATAACAGTGGTAAGTTTACTCTCACTGAATGTAACATCATCATTATCATCATCAGCCTATTAATGTCCCCACTGCTGGGGCACAGGCCTTTCCTATGGATGGAATAGGGAGATTGGGCCATGACCCACCACGCGGGCCCAGTGCGGATTGGCGGGTGCTAACGACTGCAGATGCAGCCGGGACCAACGGCTTAACGTGCCTTCCGAAGCACGGAGGAACTCAAGATAGTAAATTTTTGGCCACCCATCCAATGACCGACCACTGCGAAAGTTGCTTAACTTCAACGATCGCAGCCGAATGCGCTATCCACTTGCTCCATCGAGCTCCTCAATGTAATGTAACATCAGCAAGGCACTATTTTTACTATTTTTATTTAATAATTTGTGGATAATATTGTTGGTTACAATATTACCTTAGATTTTGCGGTACCATGGTACCACATATAATAGTATTTAGTCATAAAACACATATTGTAACCGTTTTTTATCCCTTAATAAATAAAATAAATAAAAATAAAATAATTTTTTAAGTTTAAAAATCATGATAGAATTGACACCATTCTAAGGTTTACAAAGCTTAACTATGAAAAACGCCCAAACATATACTTGCAGGTTGATTAAAGGTATCTATAGCTATATAGAATAATAATGTGTTACTAGCAAACCAGTGAACCAAATGTTCACCAAAAAAAAATGTATTTACTTAATTGAGAACTTCGGAGATTTTGTGTGGTTTCGTTTTCGTAGTCTTATCAGACTATTCTTAACTTATAACTTAAACATTCTCTATATCTATCTCTTACGGTTTGGCCGCTGAAACAGCACCACGGATGGACGGACGGACGGACTTGTCTAATAGATAAGAGATACTTAACTAGCAAACTAGTGAACCAAATGTTCACCAAAACCTGATTTAAAAAAAAAATGTATTTAATTAATTGAGAACTTCGGACATTTTGTGTGGTTTCGTTTGAAATTCGTGATTTCTCTAAAACCGGAAGTGCTACGTTACTCAAATCCGGTTTGTAGTCTTACTATTCTTTAAACTCAGACTATTCTTAACTTATAACTTAAATATTCTCTTTATCTATCTCTTACGGTTTGGCCGCTGAAACAGCACCACAGACAGACAGACGGACGGACTTGTCTAATAGATAAGAGATAATATTCGACACATCAGCGATCCCGATTTGTAGTTAGTTGGGTCTGAAAATTTAATTTCAATTATAAATGAGTTATTCTCACCTCGGTGGGCAGGGGTGGTCATTGCAAGTCCTCACTCGGTTTTCGGGCTTCGTCAGAGGATCACACATGTATGGCGAAGCGTTTTTACCATCTTCGTCTCTGACGCACTGGATGATCAGCTCCTGGTAAGGTGAAAATATTTCTCTATGTTTACTGTTTTACTTTTTATTATTCTTGTGATCTTAGGCTTTAGTCTTCTATAGACGTCGTACGTCGCGTACAGCGTCACACCGTACGCCGCGTACAGCGTCACACCGTACGCCGCGTACAGCGTCACACCGTACGCCACGTACAGCGTCACACCGTACGCCGCGTACAGCGTCACACCGTACGCCGCGTACAGCGTCACACCGTACGCCGCGTACAGCGTCACACCGTACACCGCGTACAGCGTCACACCGTACACCGCGTCACGATGCTATTCGGCGTCCACACACCGTATGCACCGTACCTATAGTAAGCATCGTGGCGAGGCGTACGGCGTGGCACTGTACGTGGTCTACGACGTAGTGCTGTACGTGGCGTACGGCGTGGCACCGTACGTGGCGTACGGCGGGGCACTGTACATGGCGTATGGCGAAATGTATATGGCGTACGGCGAAATGCTGTATATGGCGTACGGCGAAATGCTGTACGTGGCGTACGGCGTGGCCCTGTACGCGGTTTACGGTGTTTATAGGAGTTTTTTAAAAACACAACAGCGCATCATAAGTTCCACCCATTACATTACAGTGTCAATATCACATTTTTTAAGAATGCATGGAATACAATGAATAAAAGGAGCACAAACTATGAATTTCACTGTACTTGAGAAAATATAAATATATCATTACGATAGACATATATATTTAGACAAAAAGCAGTCGCAAAATGTTAGTTCATAAAATAACAAATTCAGTTTCTCAGGTTTTCACGCACATCACTCATGAAATAAATAAATTTTTATAATACATTTGCTCGTAAAGCGTCTCTTATTGCACCAATTTCAATATCATAATCTATCACATTACACACGCGTGCGGTAATGTAAAGTAAAACGCACGGCTTATTCTGTTCCGTCTAAAAACGAACGATTATATTTTAAATCTTAGCAAAGAGTTTTTATGTCAGAAAGGTAGCCAACATTTTCTTAATAAAATTAACTTTGGGAGAATAAATATAATAAATAAACATTTAATTCTTTAATTTGGTTCATTTTGACAATAAATTATAACCATGTATCGATAACAAATGCACAAAAACACTGGCTGTTTTATGTTCCTTTGCTTAAAAAAGCGCGGAAGCGCGCGCATCGCTAATCTGTGAAAAAGTTTAATTATTCCGCGCGCTTTTTCTTTTCGCTGTATTGTTTTTACGTTTAAATGTTGTCAAGTAGTGATGAATTTATTAATTTGACACCGCCAGAAGTCTGAGAAGCGGCGAAAAAGGCTACGCTAAGCCTCTAGCCCGAAAAATCGACGGATAGATACTTACAAGCGTATCAAAATTTCATTTCATGGAAAACAAGAAAAAATGAGTTTTATTAATGTGTTATAAAACGTCGTATGACATACGTGCGGTTCGATAATTACAGCCTCTGCCTTCTTATAGCAATATCGCCTCGGCTGTAATTATCAACTTACCGCACTTATATCATAATGCACTATTACGGGTTATATGAGATACCTTCGACAAAGTAAATAAAAAAATAATTATACTGAAAAGGATGCGAAACGTAAAAACTGTTTTATTTAACAAATTCTGTTTTCAGTATTTTTTAATCTGCTTTAAAACACCATGTGAAAATAGCGGTAGTAGCCGCTACCTTATTACGTCATACTGCTGCTTTATGCCAAAGGGCCAGCTGTCACCTCAGTCCTTTTAATGTTTTCGTAACCAAGGTAACGAATTTATTTACACTACGGATGACGTCATGACCGCAGATCAAGCAATATGGTGTTTACAGTGTCCAGCGTTTTTGTCACACTACGCGCGACATTTGGAAATTTTACTGCATTTTTAAGGCATTTAACGACTGTATAAAACATATTCATCATTATATCTATGTATATTTATGCAAGTTTATTTATGTAGGCATATGTATTATATAATGTGTATAGTTTAAATATATATACACATCTATTATTTATTAAGTCTATTTCCTATAACAGTAGTAATAAATTATGTTTAGTTTAATTTTTATTGCACTTTCTGTTTCCCGCTAAGTTTTGAATCTCCGACACCACCTAGGTTAGCTGGAAGAGATCTCTTTTAGAGATAACCTTTGCTTACTATGTATTTGACTATTATTATTAAAGAGTATAATTTAATTTTTTTGCAAATTAACATTTTAGAATTTAATTGCGACACGTTTATTGTGTCCAAACTCACCTGGACACCACTAAGGCAGGACGCGCTGCAACTGGTGTAGCCCTTCTCCTTCCAAGAGTAGGACTTTCCCGGGGAACCTGGAGCCACGCGGATGTTACTTGACGTGCCAAAGATGAGGGACCTGCTGTGGTCATTGCTATGACAATCATATTTTATATATTATAACTTATTTGTATTTTATAATTGAACACTTTGAAAGAAATACTGTCTACATGTACTGTGTGTATTCAAAAATTTATAGCCGCACTCGACATAATACAAGGGATTCTTACGATACAACACTACTAATATGGTTGACCTAGAGAATGCCTACGGCATTAAGTCCGCCATTGTACAGTATGTGCATGAAGAATAAAATAAATAAAATGATTTGGTGTCGTGGGACACCAGGTAGGAACGAAGTTCCTTCGGCTAATGTGGAATCGACACAAATTGCAAACTCGCTTGTGTATGCGACTGTCGCGCCTGCGCACGTCTCATTTAACGGTTTTATTCCACGCACTTTTTTCCACGGATTTTTTCTTACGGTTTTACTATCACATTTTTTTCAGTTCGGTCGCGCAGCAAAATCCCTATCCCCTCCAAGCCTGCCGTAAGGAACTTCGGTGACTGTCGCGCCTGCGCACGTCTCATTTAACGGTTTTATTCCACGCATTTTTTTCCACGGATTTTTTCTTACGGTTTTACTATCACATTTTTTTCAGTTCGGTCGCGCAGCAAAATCCCTATCCCCTCCAAGCCTTCGTTCCAAGGAACTTCGTTCCAATAAATGAATAAACACTATATGTGATCAAATCTTTGTTTTTCAGAAGTTGTAATGACACATGAAAATAGACATACAAATATAATTCATTCATTCATATGATGATGATTAAAATCTGATATGAACCTGATTAAACCACGGCTTCGCGATCGGGAACCTGATTTTAACCAGGCCAGAATTTCGAATATTTAAACTTTTGTAGTTTTTTTAATTTCTACTAGGCTTCATTTTAACAAACTCTAAATTTTAGTGTCGCCGCACACGGGCCACCGACTACAACCACAAAACGTCGCCACCGGCATATTTCTTATAGTTTTCATACATTTTATATGGACTCGCCACACACGATACGCCGGTGGCCGCCACACGCTACAAATCTTTCGCTTCTTGTGGCCCGCACCGGCTACTTATTGCGCCGATACAAACCGCCACACGTCACTCGCGCGATTCCCCACCCCCCTCTCCCTTGCCTTAGTCGGCCGCTGTCGCGCGCTTCAGCCACTTTAGTAGCCACTTCTAGCTTCTCGTGGCGTCGTTTCTGCGGCGACACTTACTCAAAATATGTGGCCTGGCCACTTCGCTACATTCACATGGGCGTAAGATGAAAAATGTATAAACTGTTTATTTAAACAATAGTTATTATAGTAACGGTCAAGCCACATATTTTGATCAAGGTGTAGAGTTTGCGAAGTGAGCCCTTCTAAAGTTAGAGCGTGTAGAGTTTAAACTGGGCTCTACATGAGATCTTATACCTTTTTGACAGTGCTAGTCATATGGCCATGTCTTGGTTTTTTTACATAAAAATGTTTTTGGTAGGATGTATTTTATGTTAGTTATTATTGACAATATTTTGGCATAGAATCACTTAGTTTCCACTTCAAAAAAAATATTTAATCGCTGGATGAAAAAAACAATTAAAAAAGCTTATGAAGTTACAAAAATGATTTCAAACTGTATAATAGTACTACTAATTGAAAAACTAATTAAACAAATTATATTTTATGATTTTATTTATTTTTTAAGCATTTAACTGCTAGATGTTTAAATCTAAAGAAAAGTTTACTAGAAAAAAATCCACTCGGACCAGGCAGCGGACGGGACTCGAACCGGCATTATTCGCTATCCGGGCGAATGCACTGACCATTATGCTACCACGGCCCTATTAGCCGCGTCGAAATTTTCCTAGCCTTAAGCTGCAAGGCAGTGCCATCTCTTCGCATTGTAGGTAACCCACAATGTCAAATGAATACTTTTTCAAGTATTAAACATTTGAAAGAAGAAATAGCAATTAAAGTTATGATTTTATTTATTTTTTAAGCATTTAACTGCTAGATGTTTAAATCTAAAGAAAAGTTTACTAGAGAAAAATCCACGCGGACCGGAATAGGGCCGTTGTAGCATAATGGTCAGTGCATTGCCCGGATAGCGAAGGATGCGGGTTCGAGTCCCGGCCGCTGCCTGGTCCGCGTGGATTTTTTTTCTAGTAAACTTTTCTTTAGATTTAAATTATTTTTTATTAAAGTAAATTCTATAACATTTAAATTCTTCAAAATGGAAGTACCTATTACTTATGACTCCGACCATTATAAAAACTGTGACACTGATTTCAAATTATATGCCAGTTTTATCTTTTTACGTTTGAAACACTTTGATGCATTAAGGCGGGTATTGGGTGTTCGTTTTATCAGTCACGGCTTATCTGCAATGATTGATACAAATATCTTTGTTATCACTATGACGATAAAATTCGCAGCAATTAGAAGTTAGCCAAAATGTCTTTGGACGTAAACATAAGTGAACCAGAAGAATTCAATTCCATTGAATTGCACAGTTGTCTCGAAGATGTAGCACATTTAATGGAGTTCAAAGATTTCAAATATCATGTAGATTTAATAAGTGGAAAAGGTGATGGTTATGTGGCTAACATATTTAGAGTTGTTATCGAGGATTGTGACAGTGCTAAAGTGAACAATATAATTGTGAAAACTCTTATTAACGCTAACAGACGAGAACTGTTTCGTGATATACATAAACGCGAAGTAACTGTGTACAATGAGGTCATACCTAAATTTAAGGAGATTCAAAGTAGATTAGATGTTACACAGAGGGTTCGGTTCCCAGAATGCCTTTATACAAATGCAAACAAAAACAAGGAGGTCATAATATTACAAGATTTGAGAGATATTGGGTTTGGAGTCGGTGACAGTATGTCGAAATTCGCAGAACCGGATTATATGCAAGCCAAACTAGTTTTAACGCAATTGGCCAAATTTCATGGACTCACTTTTGTATACGAAAACATAGAAAGAGAAAACTTCAATGTACTAAAGGAAAAGTTCGTGGATTTATTGTTCCAAGAGAATTTTCTCAGTAAAAGTAAACTGAGGAATTATTTCTTTGAATCATACGATATGTCTTTGAAACTAGTCACGAATGTTGAAGTTAAAAAGAAGTTAGAGAAAGTACGGAGCAATCTTTTAGAAATATTGAGATCGTACAGTCGCCCACGGAAACATAATGTTCTTTGTCACGGAGACCTATGGCTAAATAATGTACTTTTAAAGCAAGTAAGTAAAAACTTTTTCTTCCATAAGCAATACTGTTTTTTGTTTTTATTATAGTTGGTACTTAGCCAGCATCAGACCACTGTGGGCACAGGGCTTTTTGAATAAGTTTTCATCAATCAAGATTATGAACGTTTTGGTTAGTTTATACAAGTCACAATAATTTTATTATAACCAAGTTTTTATAAATTTATTTGAGGCATAACCGACATATATAGACATGGCAGCTTTTAGGCTTATATTTCCAATACTCACAACAATTAGCCTAGCCCAAAGTAAGCACTGTAAGGCTTGTATGATGGGATACTAGGGTAACAAAAGCCTGCCATGTCTATATATGTCGGTTAAGCTGCACATATTTCGCTATCTATATATGGTATCGGTAATAAAACAGTTAGTGATAAAGAAAGGCGCTAGTTGAACCAACCTGACATCTTTTAAATAAAATTGATCTTTTAACCGAGCAATTTTATTTTCTAGCAAGAACATTTGCAAAAGAATATATATAAATTAATTCATAAACCAGGAACCTTGTAAACGAATACCTTAAATATAGATACAAATATTTTATTTTTGTTTCTAGGAAGGCGAGCACAACGAAATTTGTTTCCTAGATTACCAAGTGATGCGATACTGCTGTCCCGCTCTCGATATTATATATTTTATGTATCTCAGCACAACTTCTAAATTTAGATTTGAACACTTCGAAGATCTCCAGCAAGGATATTACGATGCGCTTAAATCGTTTTTAAATTTATACGACATGGATATTAATATTGTTTACCCAAAAACAGACTTTGAAGCAGAAATAAAAGATTTTTTACCCTATGGATTGATTATAGCTTTAGTAGAAATGAGGATTGTCACCACCTCCCCTGAAGGTGACACGATATTGAGCGAAAATAAAATAGAATCTGACTTTGATTTTTCAAGAGTTCCAGAACCACCAGAGGAAATTGAGCTGTTCAAATTTAGAGTGAATGATTTGGTAGAAGAATCTGTACAAAATGGTATACTGGAGAAACTTTTGAAAAGATAGCAATTTTTTTTGTACGTATAAGCATGAATTAATAAAATTTAAGCACTCGTGGTTTTCATTTGTTTTTTTTTTACTAGGATGAAATCTCACCAGTCATGACTTGTGTCAGTTTTTTGATCGGATTCTTTAGCTATATGCCGTGAATTTTGAGTTATCTTACAAAATTGAAAATTGAGAAATACAAATAGGGAGAATAAACACGTACTACACCCCCATATTTTATTGTTCAGAAAAAAAATACCCTATAATCGGCGCAAATTTATAAATATCATAGATATATGGAATTATTATCCGTTTGAAGTACGTAGATCCTAAAAGTAGTTAGTTTTGAATAAATGCTTGATAATAAAAACAGTAAAGGTTTCATAATTGCACAATTGTTAAGACAGGGAGATTCTTAGAGATCAATGGAGACATTTGTCGAAAAAAGATCGTGGAAATATAACCTATACGTTGTCTGAATTAGCAAATGTTTCTGAGGTACCTAAAAAATATCTGTGTATAAATGTTGTAGACTGAAAGTTGTTTACCTGTCTCCTCCCCCGTATGAAGGTACGCTCGAATCTCCGAACGAAGTTCCATAAGCCATAGAACATGGTTCCATAACGCATCTCTCAGTCTCCTCCGCTGGTTTCGGGCCCATACATTTGCTGTCAGGAAGCTTTGCAATAGTTCTGCTGAATTCAAGAAAGATCTTGCAATGGACCTCTTTCTTCCTCCAACCTTCTCCGCAAGTAACACTGCATGGGCTCCACTCATCATCTTTGATGTAGCTATAGGAAAAAGTACCTTATTTACAATTCAGTAAAGTATATATCTGATTGGAAAATCTAATCTATATTATCTATTGATTTGAATTCACGCAGAGGGCTCAAGTTAGACATGCTAGGTGCTTAGGATCTAGAATAATGAGGGATCCTAATACAGATTACTTTGTTCTGGCTGGTTTATGTAGAAGTATGTGCACCAGTGTGAGTCTGTTAAGTATTTTATCGCCAATTCAATGTCTTTTGCACCTGTAAAACCTTAATTATCAAAATATTCATAATCCAAAATTTATATAAAAAAAAATTGTTCTAGCCAAGTAAATATTTTTTGGAAAAATGTAGCCGTGTCTGGTGTGCCAGAAAATGTTTAGTTTGTCAAGGATACTATAAAAGTGTTCTGAAGCCGAAATAAAAACATATGCAAGACATAATCTTAAAGTGTAGTTATATGTGCAGAGAAGTTAAAACTTTGTTGTGCCGTGCATAGAGTAGAAAAATGCAAGTAAGAGTATCGGTAGAAAGAAATGGTGTGTGAATATTATGATATTATGTGATGGCTTTGCGGGGTTTCGTTTGAAAATTCAAGGTTCTATGTGCATACAAAATTCAAACTTATTGAGTGGGGGATGTTGTTTGAATATTTTTGTAACTATTGCTCCGTGACTCAATATTTACAAGACAACACTCAGCTAAACTCTAAGACATCTCAAGGGATACATTCGTAGTGACGTTCACTCAGGTTTTGGAATCTAACTTTACGACCACTATAAAACGTGAGGTCAGGTGTTATCCAAAAATAATCTCTTACACCAGTGGTGGAGAGTCTACATTTCTTTCGGAGGGCATTTTTAGAATATCTAATAAAAATACTCAAGCTACCAAACAAAATAGAGCTAGCAGCAACTGGATACGTGTCGGATGGGGTTGATGTCATTCCTTGTAATAAAATGTGTGATGTTATTCTGAATCCAAAAGTGAAACCGTTAAAAACTTGAGTTCCAGGTACAATACCTTACATACAACCAGCCACACGCAAAGAATATTTTGTAATTGCTGAAAGAGACAACAACAAAATACTCTGAGCTTTTGAAGAATCACAACTTGGTATACTTATTAATATCTAAAGTAAATTAGGCCAACAATTCTCTAAATAAACGAGCTTATCACACGAAATAAAGGAATAGAAAATGGCATAAACAATAGACAATCACAAACTAAGTAATAGCCGGTAATTCAAAGTCATAAGTCATATTAATTAAAGTACTTTTTATTTAATCAACACTATCTGTGGGAAGTGATTTTGTACCAGATATTAATACTTCTCTTATATATATATATGGGCTTTATAATCTAATTTAATGCAAGCACCCATCAAATTACTTTGACAACTAATTTACAGTAAATAATGGCTGTTGTTTTAGCGATATTTAGCTGAATTTATTTCTGGCCTTTAGTATAAACTGTGTGTGTAAATATGAAATTAGAATTTCAACTCCTTATCTCCAGATTCAAAAATTGTTAGATGATTTAGCAGTAATACTGAAAATTTACGTAATTTAGAATACGCCACTTCTACTCTACTTCTATCCAGCACGAAACTTACGTCGCTTCCACTGGTACGTCAGGTTCTCCGATCAATCTTTCTGCCTTTGCTTGGGGAGGTGGATAAGGTTGTATTAGAGGCTGCGTGTGATATACCACTCCAGGGAGTATATCTTCTATGTCATCCTGTGAAAAATTTCAATCGAGCTTAAGTTTATCAATTAGATGTCCTTTATCATATCAGTTTATCTACTTTCAAATTCATTTCTTTCTTACTTAGTCTGAAATAAATAATTGAACCTCAATAAAATCAAAGAAAGGATTTATTTCTATTTTTCTGTCACGTTATAATTTGAGGATTTTCAATTTAGGATTGGATTTTAGTATATAAACTAAGTTCGATGATTGTTTATTAATAATGGGGTTTTCATCAATCTTACAACTTCTCATACATTGCGATTACCTAATTTAAAAGGTTATGTCACATACACAAGTTTTACGGTTGCAGTCTTTTATTTATTGAGGAATCTCTCAAGCTGCGTATGGACAGCGCGTACATGGGTACGCATAGTCAATTACGCGCGTCCTAGAACACCTTGTAGCCGTACACATGGCTACTCGTAGAGAGTACGCGTAGCTACAAGTATTTATATGGCGTTCGAGGACACGCGTAACCGTCTCCTCATACCTATGACAAACAGCTTACCTCCGGCTCATCACTTTCCCTATAAGCTGGACAGCTGATCCCCGTGGAGCAAGGCCTGGTGATCTCGGGCCTATTAGAGGGGTCACAGACTCCACCAGCGGGAGTACACTCCACCCCGCGCACTTGCATACCTTCCCCGCAGGACACTGAGCACTGGAGAAAGAAAGAGTGTTAACTTTAATTGTTTAATGTCAATGCTCTAAGGAGCACTCGAAAAGGAGAAAGGCTTAATTTTACTTGCTTGACGTCAATGATACTCGTAAATATATCTAGTCAGTTCAAATTGGTTAAGATTTTACAGGGAAAAGTGGATAGAAAATCCATTATGCCCTGAACACTCTTGACCAGCTCAACTGGAACGCCCGAATGGGGAAAAAGCTGATCCCCATGGAGGAAGACCAGATGATCACGGGCCTGTTGGCCGGGTCACAGACTCCACCAACTGGAATATACTCTACATTTTTTTGATTTTTTTCATTTGACGACCTCCGTGGCCGAGTGGTTTGTACGCCGGGTTTCATAGTGTCGCCGACTCGAGAGGTCCCGGGTTTGAATCCCGGTGGGGGTAGATGTTTGTGTGATGAATACGAGCATTTGTACTCCAGTCGTGGATGTTTAATATGTATTTTCTATATAAATATACTTATATATGTACAGTATATGTACTCTATCCGTTACCCCAGCATCCCATAACACAAGCCTTACAGTGCTTACTTTGGAGCTAGGCTAATTGGTGTGAGTGTTGGAAATATTTATTTTATTATTTATTTCCCCATAGGGCACTGAGCACTGGAGAAAGTTGTGTTAGCTTTTTTTGGACGTCAATGTTTATGTCTAGTCATAAGTCTTAGCATAAGTTAAGAGTAGTAGGGCACGGTGGAATTTTCGCTCAATTGGAGAGTTTCAACTGTTTAATTTAAATACTCTTCCCACCCCATGGACTTGCATGCCTTCACCGCAGGATACTGAGCGCTGGAGAAAGAGATAAGGTTTTCTTTTGTTTTTTGATGTTACTGTTGCTTAGGTTTTCTGTTCGAATTGGAGCAGCCTTTCAAGAAAGTAACTTTACAGGAAAAAAATATACGTGGCCCTACCTGATGTTTTGGTAGGGTAATTTGTTACGCTTTAACTTCCACTTAACAGTTATGTAGAAGTGGAGTCCAGTTGTGAAGTTAGATGATGAGGGTGAGGCGCTTCAGCCATCCTCTTGCCGGCCTGAACCCAATTCCCTACCCTGCAGAGCTCTGGAATCCTACTGACCAGCAGAAACACAACACCACCAAAAGTTAGTGTTATTTTACTGTTGTCTTCTCTAAGGTGAAGGTCTCATCCAGGCGCTCCAATCCGAACGGTAAATCTGCTATCTACCCTACCTCTCTTAGTGTCGCCGCACACGGGCCACACGCCACAGCACATAAACGCCACCACGAGAAGCTAAAAGCGGCTACTAAAGTGGCTGAAGCGCGTGACAGCGGCCGACTAAGGTAACGAAGAGAGGGGTGGCGAATCGCGCGAGTGACGTGTGGCGGCGTTTTGTATCGGCTCATTATGTGGCCGGTGCGGGCCACAAGAAGCGAGCAACGACGATTTGTAGCTTGTGGCGGCCACCGGCGTACCATGTGTGGCGAGTCCATATAAAATGTATGAAAACTACAAGAAATATGCCAGTGGCGGCGTTTTGTGGTTGTGGTCGGTGGCCAGTGTGCGGCGACACTTAAGTACCCACCGTTTGGTGGTGTTCTTTTCTGTTGGAGAGTAAGGTTCTACGCTTCACGGGATTGGGCATTGGTTTCGGACCGGCAAAGGAGGTTGGATGGAGTTTTTTTCTGCCGCATCGACTATTTTGGCGACAGGATTACACTTCAGTCCGCTTTCCGCGGCTTGTGAAAAAATCCTTGCTACTGTATCAGGGATTCATGAGATATCATCTTCATCAGCCTATTTATGTCCCCACTGCTGGGGCACAGCCTTCCCTATGGATGGAATAGGGAGACACAAACCCCTTATAAATAAATAAATATTTCCAACTCTCACACCAATTAGCCTAAGCCGCAAAGTAAGCACTGTAAGGCTTGTGTTATGGGATACTAGGGTTACGGATAGAATACATACACAGTACATATATAAGTATATTTATATAGAAATACATATTAAACATCCATGACTGGAGTACAAATGCTCGTATTCATCACAAAAGCATCTGCTCCCATTATGAATGATTTGAACCCGGGACCTCTCGAGTCGGCGACATCATGAAACCCGGCGTACAAACCACGCGGCCACGGAGGTCGTAATAATTAACAACTGCGTTTAGTATTTGCCCATTTTAATAAGGAACGCTAAAATAACAATTTTTAATGTCCTTTTTTTTAAACACAGATTTAAAATATAAAGTTCCTTCACTAGATTGGAAACTTTGTCCCAGGCTGGATAGAGAATAAGGCATTCTATGAAAATTTCAAGTCTGTCTTTACTCTTAAAAATATATTGCTGTATAAAACTTCCATGAAGTATGTAAAGGTATTGAATTTTCCCCGGAACAATGTTGAGTAGAGGGGATCCAGGTAAGCAGGAATACTTTGTAAGCACATTCAATCTGGAAATGTTATATTTTTATATGAGGCTCTGTCCTGCATAATTTTATCTGTTTTGAATAATATAATAGAAAAATAACTATAGAAAGTCTGAAACTTATGTTTTGGTTGGAGTCATTTGGAGAAAGATTTTTTTTTTTATGTACAGGATTGTTACCATCTATGTACCAACATTTTGTCTCTTTTTTTAGCGAGATTCGTTTCGAAGTAACTCCGTGATCATGGCGCTTGCAACACTGCCGAAATATCGGAAACTCGCTAAAACAAGGTACATAAGGTAACAATCCCGTAAATAAAATAAATTACTGTTATGTTAGTGATCAGGAAAGTTTAAAACAATATAAAGAATTCTTTGTCTACATGTATTAATAGAGTAATGCTCAGTTAAAAAATATACTATAATAAATAAATATTTCCAACACTCACACCAATTAGCCTAGCCCCAAAGTAAGCACTATAAGGCTTGTGTTATGGGATACTAGGGTAAGAGATAGAATACATATACTGTACATTAAGTATATTTATATAGAAAATACATATCAAACATCCATGACTGCAGTATAAATGCTCGTATTCATCACACAAACAGCTGCCCCCACCGGGAAGCAAAATCCGGGACCTCTCGAGTCGGCGACACCATGAAACCCGGCTTACAAACCATTCGACCACGGAGGTCGTCAAAATAATATTTGCTGCTTTGCTGTCTGGGGGCCATTGCCCAACGGAAATGCTTTGGAAAACGCTAACTCTTACGATTTCATTTTGTTATTTCTAGCCGCCTGAGGTTTTCAAATGCCTCGCGCTCTTTTTTTTTGCATTGGTAATAACAATATAAAAGAAAATGAGCGTGAGGTATTTGAAAACCTTCGGCGGTAAGAAATAACAAAATGAAATTGAAAGCGTTAGCGTTTTCCAAAGCATTTCCGTTAGGCGACTGCCCCCCTGATCATTAACGACAACTACTTCAAAGCATTTCAACTTAATCCAATGTTGCACTGTTACTACCCACCTATATAGCTATATTTATAACCTCGTACGTTACACTTTCCCCCCTACTCTGTTTATTTAGCAGAAACTGTCGGTTTCAGCACAATAAAAAAGTTGGCAAACACACGGCGCAAACTAAAGCCTAGGCTACACCGGGAGACGAACGAGCTAGCGAAAGTATTATTTTACTTTCTAAACGGATTCAAAGTAAAAAAAGCGGTTAAGTGCGTGTCGTACTACGTGCAGTGTAGGGTTCCGTACTATTTGCAACTGCAAGTCCTTCAACCCCCGTAAACTGTTTTGAGGTGTCTCAGTAAGTGCAAGCGCAGGATGGTCGGCAAGCTTTGTCGTATATCTGGTTGTATACAGCTATCCTATTAGGCTAGGCTTATTATTATGGTTACTAATAAAATAAAATGAAGGTACTATAAAATGAATTTATTAAGCTACTTAAAAATTGCCCATGTGTCATATCTTTTGACTACCAGGATATATTTTTACGGTGTCATAATAAAAAAGGCTAGTTTTTCATAGATCTCTCGATTCATACAAATTACATTGTTCGTTAGATCTGGGTGTGTTTTGCCCATTGTCCTTTATAAAAATCAATATTTTAGTATTTTTATAGATTTTGTTTTTCAATGCAAGATTTTTCGCTATCATCATAATAACTTCATCTACGTCACTATTAATGTTTTCTTTTCAGGAATTTTCAAAAGGTAAGATATTTTCTTTAACCAAAGTTGAACGACTATTACTATTGGACGATGATCACGGGCAATGACTATGGAATGGATCTTCTTCTTTTTCTAGTGCTTCTCTGAACGAAGAGGTTGGCAATCACCTCTGCTTGTCTGCAGCAAGATAGAATGATTCTGCGGCGCTCTAGATTCCAGTCCATTCTCGTAGGTTCCTCAACCAAAAAATCCTCCGGGGGGCCGTTCAAGTAATACGTAAGCACTATAGGGGGGCAGGGGGGTCTTTGCTTTACTTATTTTTGATGACATGGGGGGCTGGGGGGTCGAGATAGTGATTACGTCAGCATCATGGATTCTGGTGCCATGGATTGAAGACTGTTAACTGGAATTAATAAATATACCAAAAATTCGAAAGAAGTTTGTTTTGTTCGTGATAGTAAAGTTTGTTTAAATTTAAGTACTGCTACTCATGAATACTCATGAATCGATAAGACAATGTTTTTTTTAAGTTATAGGGGGCATACGAGCAGACGGCTCACCTGATGGTAAGTGATCAACGTCGCCCATGGACACTTGCAACACCAGGAGTATCACAAATGCGATGCCGGCCTTTAAGGAAGGAGTACGCTCTTTTTTTGTAGGTTTTTGGGTCGTATCATATTTTGTATAGAATACATTAAAGGAAAAATGCATATAAGTACCAATGTTTACGTAAGCATGGAAGGGGGGGTAAGAGCTTTGCTTAATTTTGCTGACAAGGGGGAGGATGGGATAAATAATTGTAATAAATCTGCTTACGTAATACTTGAACCTGTCCCCTGTCCCCGTTGTCCCCTGCGACCGACGTTTCAGAGATACCTTAAAAGCTTGGATG